CCATCAGCTGGTCTCTTAAGACTCTCTCGCCTTCAGCTCGTCTATGGAGACTCCAAAGCTTCAGCTCGTCTTTGGAGGCTTCCCAGCCTTCAGCTCGTCTATGTCGTTTCCTATCCTCCAGCTCGCCGTCAGCTCGTCTACAGAGACTACTTGACTTTCAACTCGCCTATGAAGACTTCCTGGCCTTAAGCTCGTCTACTTAGACTTCCTGGCCTACAGATCGTCTCTTGAAACTTCAGTTCTTATATTGCCATTCAGTTCATCCATTGTGAGTTCCTGGCCTTTAGCTCGTCTATAGTGACTCCCAGGCCTTAAGCTCGTCTATGGAGACTCCCTGACCTTAAGCTCGTCTATAGAGACTCCCTGGTCTTTAGGTCGTCTCTGGAGACTATCTGACCTTCCGCTTAACTATGGAGACTCCCTAACATCAGCTCATGTATGGAGACGACCTGACCTTCAGCTCGTCTATAGTGGCTCCCAGGCCTTCAGCCGTATATGGAGACTCCCTGGCCGTCAGGCTTGTCTTTTGACCTGGCCTTCAGCTCGCCTATGGGAAGTTCCAGGCCTTCAGTTGGCTTATGAAGACTTCCTGGCCTCCGACTCATTAATTGAGACTCTCTGACCTTCAGACCGTCTATTGAGACTACCTGGTTTTTTTATGAAATATGCATCCTTTAGACGTGAATCGAATTTTTTCCCAAAATTTCATGTTCCCAAACGATAAGTATCCTTTTCATAAATACATTTGTCCTTATCTAATGAAGAAACTATCAAGAAAATAGACCCTAATTAAAAACACCAAGTGCCTTTCGTGTCGTATAAGTATAAAACTCACCCTCCTCACCATCACCACAATTTCTTGTAAACATTTAAAACTAAATACATATAAATATGTATCCTTTCAATGTTCACATTTATAAGGAAATAATATTTCAGTTCAAGGTCGTTATGAACATGATGCTTAAATGTTGGTATGTCTGTATGTGTGTGTGCCAGTAAGAACGAATATCAGTAATGTATTGCTATTGACACATTTGCTGAAACAAGAACAAGAAACAAGAACTTACAAACAAGATTCTTTCATGTACAATTTGTTTTGAAATTGAGGTTTCCTCAAAAAACGAAAAACTATTTATCCCTTAAACATGAAATCAAAACTGAAAGGACAACATGTGTACACAAAAATATTCCTTCGAACATGTGTATGTTGTAAGTTTGTTGTAGACATTAACATTGGACGGAAATCCTTTGAATATTTCTAAAGAATTAAATCTGAGGGTAGATCTTGTCACTTTGGTAAGCTGTTTACTTAAATAGTTAGGAATTTGAAAGGGAAAATTTTCAATTTTGACTGTCTACTGAAAATACGGGGGAGGGAGCAAACTTCTCTTCAAAAAAAAAAAAAAAATGCTGTAAAAATATTTTTAAAATTCACAATTGAATCATTTATAGTTTTTAATAAAAATATCCCCTAAATAATAAAGATTTATTTTAATCAAAAATATTGTGACAAATGTTTCTAAAAATATTCGTAAACTAGTAAGGAATAGTCAAAAGCCGGACGGGACCGACTATATGATCCTCTACACCACTTTGCATATTTAGTAGAGCTCCCGTAACAAAAGTATTTATATTGGGAATATATTTGAAGTAGATCATACCACCTATCAACATTTGGCTTTAGAATGGCTACTCTAATTAGGTTTCGGAGGAAACTAATATATGGGAGGCATATCCAATTCTGAATCGATGCATGATGTTAGGATTATATTAGAAATAAAATATATCGGAGCCGGGTTCCACCAAATGGGAACGTACGTCCCGAAACTCACTCCATTTTAGGCTGATATTAGCCATTATTTGCACAATAAACTAGAAATCGGATTAAGGATATATATAGGAGCTTTTCCACATCCTAGCCTATCTCGAAAAATTTTCCAAAGGTATTTCCGAGTTCTATAAGACATCTGGTGCCAAATATCATGTCGAATGTACATTACGAATGTGAGGGACTTAAAGGCCAAATCGGATAAAAAAATATATATGGGAGCTAATGCTGTATCTAAACCGATTTTCACCAAATTTGATATACTTGCTTCCAGACTCAATTCGGTTGGATGTGCCAAAACTCAGGTCATTTGGACTGATATTGGCCATTTGGTGCACAATTAACCCGAAAGCGGTTTAAGATATATGTGGGAACTATATCCCTAATCTGAAGCTATCTTGATACAATTTGACAGAGGTATTTCTGGGCTGTATCTGATATCTGGTACCAAATATCATTGTTGTCGGATGCATGTTACGAATGTGAGGGATTTAAACACCATATCAGATGAAACATATATATGGGACCTATATCTAGATCTGAACCGATCTTGATAAAATTTGGCAGAGGTATTTCTGAGCTCTATAAGATATCTGGTACCAAATATCATTTTTATGCAGTGCATATAAGGAATGTGAAGACTTAAACACCAAATCGGATGAAATATATAAATGGGAGCTATAGCTATATCTGAACCGATTTTCATTAAATTTGATATACTTGCTTCTACACAGAATTTAGTCGGATGTGCCAAAATTCAGTTCATTTCGACTGTTATTAGCCATTTGCTGCACAATTAACCCGAAATCGGTTGAAGATTTATGTGGGAGCTATATCTAAATTTTAACCGATTTTCACCAATTCCCAGTAGGGTTCGTCCTCGGGCCAAACAAATAGTGTTTGGAAAATTTCATCTCAATCGGATATAAAATTTATACCAAATATTGGTTTAGTCCTTAAATATTTATTCTCAAAAAAAAATCCACGTTTATAGTGATAGTCTTTGAAAAAATTATTCTTAAAAAATCCACCTTAAAAGCTCTGATAGTCCTTAATAATTTATTTTTAAAAAATCCACGTTTATAGCTCTGATAGTCCTTAATAATTTATTTTTAAAAAATCCACGTTTATAGCTCTGATAGTCCTTAATAATTTATTTTTAAAAAATCCACGTTTATAGCTCTGATAGTCCTTAAATATTTAATCTTAAAAAATCCACGTTAATAGCTTCAATAGTCCTTAAAAAATAATCTTAACAAAATTTAAATTTACAGCTCTGATAGCCTTTGAAAAAATATTCTTAAAAAAATCCATATTTATAGCTCTGATAGTCCTTAAAAAAATATTCTTAAAAAATCCACGTTTTTAGCTCTGATAGTCCTTCAAAAATTATTCTTAAATATCGGCGTTTATAGATCTGATAGTCCTTCAAGAAATATGCTGAAAAATTCACGTTTATATCTCTGGTAGTCCTTCAAAGTTATTCTTAAAATATCGGATTTTATATTGCTCTGATGCTCTTTAAAAAATATTCTTAAAAAATCCAAGTTTATAGCTCTGGCAGTCTTTGAAAAAATATTCTTAAAAGTCCACGTTTATAGCTATGACAGTCCTTAAAAAATAATCCGAAAAAAAATCTCATTTACAGCTCTGATAGTCTTTGAAAAAATATTGTTAAAATATCCATGTTTATAGCTCTGATAGTCCTTAAATATTTATTCTTAAAAAACCATGTTTATAGCTCTGATAGCCCTTCAAAAATATTTTTAAAAAATACACGTTTATAGCTTCGATAGTCCTTAAAAAATAATCTTAAAACAATCCTCGTTTATGGCTCTGATAGTCTTTGAAAATGTATTCTTAAAAAATCCTAGTTGACAGCTCTGATAATATTCTTAAAAAATCCTCGTTGATAGCTTTGATAGCCTTTACAAAAATATTCTTAAAAAGTCCCCGTAAATAGCTCGGATAGACCTTTCAAAATATTCTTGAAAACCCCAAATTTATAATTTGATAGTCCTTCCTTATATCTCTGGTACTCCTTCAAAAGTTATTCTTAAAATATCGGCGATTATAGATCTGATAGTCATTCAAGAAATATGCTTAAAAATTCACGTTTATATCTCCGATAGTCCTTTGAAGGAATGTTCTTAAAAAATCCACGTTTATAGCTCTAAAAGTCTTTGAAAAAATATTCTTGAAAATCCAAATTTATAACTCTAATAGTCCTTCAAAAATATTCTTAAAAATCACGTATTTAGCTCTGATAGCCCTTATAGCTCTGATAGCCTATATAAATATTTTTATAAAATCCACGTTTATAACTCTGATAGTCCTTCAAAAAATATTCTTAAAAAATCACGTATTTAGCTCTGATAATCCTTCAAAAAATATTCTTATAAAATCCACGTTTGTAGCTCTTCAAGAAATATGCTTAAAAATTCACGTTTATATTTCTGATAGTCCGTTTCACGTTTATATTTCTGATAGTCCTAGATCTAATGGTCTTTGAAAAATATTCTTAAAAAATCCACGTTTATAGCTCTGATACTCTTTTAAAAAATATTCTTAAAAAATCCACCTTTATAGCTCTGATGGAATTTTAAAAATATTCTTGAAAAATTCACGTTGATAGCTCTTATAGTTTTTAAAAAATATTTTTTAAAAAATCAACGCTTATAGCTCTAATAGGTAAGATCGAAATATGTGTATAGGAATTGTAATAAATCAAAAAAAAAAAAATAACGAAAAAGTTATTGGTAGGGGACGCTTAAATTTTTACTCCTACAAACGACTCATGTTGGGCGCCATTTGTGTTATTTTAGGTTGAAGGCCATGATGTCGTCAATATCTGCTAAGTGCTCGACTAGGATATCTTGTGGTCTATTGTGATCTAAGATATTATTTAGTTAAAAAAACAATGAAGAAAAATATTTGTAAGGGACGCTCAAATTTAAACGACACATGTTAGGTGCCATTTAATGTAATTCAGGTTGAAGGTCATGTAATTGCGAATATTTATATTTCCTTAAAAAATATTTTAAAAAAATTACGTTTATAGCTTTAATAGTCCTAAAAAATATTCTTAAAAAATTCATTTTTAAATCACTGATAGTCTTTGAATAAAAATTTTCTTTACAAATAAAATTTTCATCTTCTTTTTTCTTTGCAGATAACTTGCCATTTAACTTAGAGGAAAACAATTATTCATAAAAAATGACATAACCTCAACATACGAAATGTAAACTTCTATTCTCATAACGTGGAGAATTTAGAATAAAAAAGGATACTGTGATAAAAAATTAGAAGACAGGAGTAATTGAAAGAAGAAAAACAAAATGCGACTCCACAATATAAATAAGTTAGCAATTAGCGTCAGCTTATGTCTGCTGTTTACGCTGAATTTATTGTTGTTGTCGACAACAGCAAATGCGGCCAAAGAAAACATACCAACATACCATGAACCGGAAAAGGAGGAAAGAACTGGTTCCCGCGCTACGGAACAACATCATCAGAGACAAAGTCATCAGAATCATCAACAGAAAACTGCACATCACTATCAAGAGCAACAACAACACCATCAACGGCACCAGCCACAAAGGCAGCATCATTATCAGCCACAGCAACACCAACAACAACATCAAAAACATCATCAATCACAAACGGCAACACATCATGACAGCCATCAACGCCAGCCGCGACAACGTAACTCGGGTCCTGGCCCACAAACCTCCAAACGTTTCTCTCGCGACTCTCAGGCATCTAGTCGTAAACCCAATATAATTCTAATTCTCACCGATGATCAGGATGTTGAATTGGGTTCGTTGAATTTTATGCCACGCACTCTGCGTATCTTACGTGATGGTGGGGCAGAGTTCCGTCATGCCTATACCACAACGCCAATGTGTTGTCCAGCCAGATCATCGCTGCTGACTGGCATGTATGTCCACAATCACATGGTCTTCACCAACAACGACAACTGTTCCAGTCCCCAGTGGCAGGCCACACATGAGACCCGCTCCTTTGCCACATATCTATCGAATGCCGGCTATAGAACCGGTTATTTTGGTAAATATCTCAATAAATACAATGGTTCCTATATACCACCGGGTTGGCGAGAATGGGGTGGACTCATCATGAATTCGAAATACTATAATTATAGTATCAACATGAACGGGCAGAAGATTAAGCATGGATTTGATTATGAAAAGGTAAGTTCGAAATATGTGTGGGTGAAATTTAAGAATTAAAAAAAAAACAAGTTATGGGTTATCAGTCGGTTTTGCCGACAAATGTATACCCTCAGCCAATGTTCGATGATTTAAATATAATTTGACTTTTGTTATGATTATTCTAATTGTTGACCCTCTATGTATGTTCCGAAGGATTGGGCCAATATTGATAATTTCGTATCGGAATCAAAAAATTTTGAAATAAATGTTGCGACGTGCCAGGTTTGGATTATATCGGGCCGATACGTCTCACCTTCACAGCAGATCTTTTGTTAGTAGAAAAAATGGGATGTGTGAAATATGTAGAGAACAGGATGCTTATTTCGGATTTTATGATCGTTTTGGTTATTCAAAATTTTGACCTTTTGTGGGGGAGGTACCAGAAAGAATGGCCCGATATATTCCACCTTCACACCAGACCTTGGATTAGTAAAAATATTGTGATGTGTTTAATTTTAAGACGATATAAGTGTTATAATTATTCATAAGTGTTATAATTATTCCAAATTTTGACCCTTTGTGTGGGAGGTACTTGCCGGAATGGACCGATATTGTCCATTTTCGTCCCTGGCCTAGCACTGATGCAAATATTAGGATTTGCAAAGTTGGAGCAAAATCGGATTATCATTTCTCTTTTTGTGCAATAAATGATTTTCTTTGAAAATGTTGACATTTTGTAGGGAAGGTAAAATTTAATCTCCTAAAAACGTCACATGTTGGGCGCCAACATTAGGTTGAAGGCCATGTGTTTGCCTATATTTGGTAGTCACTCGACTTGGAGTAGTTACCAAACAAAAAAATAAATGGAGTATTTATAAGAGACTCTCAAATTTAAACTCCTATAAGCGACACATGTTGGGCGTCATTTAAGTTATATTAGGTTGAACGCCATGTAATTTCCTATATGTGATCGACGTGGAGATCTTGTCGTCCATTGTGAGGATAAGATTAGCGTTAGTCAAAAAAAATTGAAATCGAGGTCAAATTTAAACTCCTATAAACGACACATGTTGGGCGCCATTTAAGTTATTTTGGATTGAAGGTCATGCAGTTGCCAATATTTGCTACCTGCTCGACTTGGAGATCTTGTGGATCCATTCTGATCATAAAAAATGATAGTTCAAAAAAAAACATTGTCAAAAGACATTTGTAAGGGACGCATAAATTTAAGCTCCTATAAGCAACACATGTTGGGCGCCATTTAAGATTTTTGCCAATATTTGCTAACTACTCGACTTGGAGATCTTGTGGGCAATTGTGATCATAAGATAAGTGTTAGTTCAAGATAAACGCAATGGTATTTTTAAAGGACGCTCAAATTTTAACTCCTATAAGCCACACATGTCGGGCGCCATTTAAGTTATTTTAGTTTGAAAGCCATGGAATGGCCAATATGTGCTAACTACTCGACTTGAAGATCTAAGATAAGCGTTAGTTCAAAAAAGCAATGGTTTTTGTAAGGGACATTCAATTGTAGACACATGTTGGGCGCCATTTAAGTTATTTTAGGTTGAAGGTCATGGAATGGCCGATATGTACTAACTACTCGTCTTGGAGATATTGTGGTCCATTGGGATCATAAAATAATCGTTAGTTCAAAAAAAAAAAAAAAACATTGGAGAAAGGTATTTTTAAATGACGCTCGAATTTAAACTCCAATAAGCGACACATGTTGGGCGCCATTTAAGTTATTTGAGGGTGAAGGTCATAAAATGGCCGATATCTGCTAACTACTCGACTTAAAGATCTAAGATAACCGTAAGTTTACTCCTGTGAACTGCTAAAAGTCCGAGTTTTTTGTCCTATCCTGTCCTATCGATATTGTTCCTTCTCACGAAACCTCCTCTCCATTGACAAGTCGTGACCCGTATGTTCAGCTGTTTCAGATTTCGTTAGAGAGATTATAAACGTTGTAATATTGGTTTCGAGACTCACTGAGCCGATTTTAGCCGAGCTTGCCAGAATAATGTTCTTCGATCCACTGGTCAAAATTATGTCAACTGTCGATGTTTTTTGTAAAGACTTCTATACTTCAAAAGCGTGTCTGCATTTAACATTAGGTCTTTCCTAATATCACTATTGTAATACTGGAAGGTATTTCGTATTTTTCCCATAAAAAAATATTAGAGGATTAACAAAGCTATTTGAATTGACTGAGTTCCTATCACTGGTGGATGTTTATATTTGTCGTACAGATGATTCTTTTTCACTGTATATTTTTCTATGTGCATCTCTATTAATACTCTTTCTCTCTTCTTTCAAACCAGGACTACTACCCGAATTTAATAGCCAACGATTCTATAGCATTTTTGAGATCATCAAAACAACAAAACCAAAGAAAACCTGTGATGTTAACAATGAGTTTTCCAGCACCGCATGGTCCCGAAGACTCGGCGCCCCAGTATAGTCATTTATTTTTCAATGTTACCACACACCAGTAAGTCTTTGCGCAGCTTTTATCTGATATAAAAATAATACAAATATCCTTTCCATTTTCCAGCACGCCATCCTATGACTTGGCACCCAACCCCGATAAACAATGGATTTTAAGGGTTACCCAACCCATGGAACCGGTACATAAACGTTTTACAAATCTTCTAATGACCAAACGTCTGCAGACTCTACAAAGTGTAGATGTTGCCGTGGAAAGAGTCTACAATGAACTGAAATCGCTGGGAGAATTGGATAATACCTACATCATCTATACCTCCGATCATGGTTATCATTTGGGCCAGTTCGGTTTGATCAAGGGTAAAAGTTTTCCCTTTGAATTTGATGTGAGAGTACCATTTTTGGTTCGTGGTCCCGGAATACAACCCTCAAAGGTGTAAGTATAAAGGAAATGTGTGTTGAGATATATTTTATTCAGAGAGATTCCTTTTCTAGGGTTGAAGAAATCGTTTTAAATGTGGACTTGGCTCCCACCTTCCTGGATATGGGCGGTGTTCCAACACCCTCCCATATGGATGGCCGCAGCATTCTGCCATTGCTTTTAAATAAACAGAAATTCATGAAAGAACCCTGGCCGGATTCATTTCTCATTGAAAGTTCCGGTCGTCGTGAAACACCCGATCAAATTGCTGAGGCCCGAGCCCGTTTGCAGGCCGAACGTAGCAATATGAAACTGGCGAATAGTACACTGCTCGAGGATCTCGTAGAGAATGTAACATCATCATCGACAACAACACCGCCACGCATGGATATCATGGAAATGGAGTCAAGGGAGGAGGATCAATTCGGAGAACATGGTAAAGGTAACATGTAATTATAGAGCATTGGAGGGAATATAGACAAGATGAAGGGAGTCTTTAATACACGGGAGTCTTTATAGATGAGTTAAAGCGAGTCTTTATAGACGAAGGGGAGGGAATCTTCATAGGCCTGCTGGAGAAAGAATCTTGATAGAGTCCAGAATACTTTATTGACGACCTGATGGCCAGGAAGACGAACTGGAGCCCAGGTAGTCTTTATAGACGAGTTAAAAGATAGGGAGTCTTTATAGATAAGGTGAAGGCAGTCTTAATATGCGAGCTGAAGGTCAGGGAGTCTCAAAAAGCGAGCTGAAAACCCAGGGACTCTCAATAGGCGAGCTGAAGGACCAGGGGGTCTCAATAGGTAAGCTGAAAGGCCAGGGAGTCTCAATAGACGAGCTGATGTTCCAGGGAGTCTCAAATAACGTGCTGATGTTCCAAGGAGTCTCAATTGACGAGTTGAAGGTCAGGGAGTCTCAATTGACGAGCTGAAGGTCTTGGAGTCTCAATTGATGAGCTGAAGGTCAGGGAGTCTTTATAGACGAGCTGAATGGCCAGGGAGTCTCAATAGACGAGCTGATGGGTAAGGGAGTCTCAATAGACGAGCTGATGGGCTAGGGAGTCTTAATAGACTAGCTGATGGGCCAGAGAGTCTCAATAGACGAGCTGATGGACCAGGGAGTCCCAATAGACGAGCTGATGGACCAGAGAGTCTCAATAGACGAGCTGATGGACCAGGGAGTCTCAATAGACGAGCTGATGGACCAGGGAGTCTCAATAGACGAGCTGAAGGCCAGGGAGTCTCAATTGACGAGCTGAAGGCCAGGGAGTCTTTATAGACCAGCTGAAGGCCAGGGAGTCTTTATAGACGAGCTGTAGGTCAGGGAGTCTCAATTGACGAGCTGAAGGCCAGGGAGTCTCAATTGACGAGCTGAAGGCCAGGGAGTCTTTATAGACCAGCTGAAGGCCAGGGAGTCTTTATAGACCAGCTGAAGGCCAGGGAGTCTTTATAGACGAGCTGAAGGGCCAGGGAGTCTTTACATAGGAGCTGAATCCAGGGAGTCTCAATAGAAGAGATGAAGGGCCAGGGAGTCTTTTTATAGGCATCTGTGCAGGTCGTCTCTTCATAGACGAGCTGTGAAGGTCTCCCTCCCTTTCAAACACTTCCTTTAAGCTTCCCCTATCTATTTATTCCAGAAACTGATAACGAAGATCTCACCGATGATGACTTTGAATTTGAGACTGATGACGAAGAGACGGATACTTCAGCTGCCATAAATGAAGAGGATGACGAAAACGAGGCAACAGATGATGAGCTGGAACAACAGGACAAATTCGATAATAATTTACCTCTGACTCCATATACCACAAAAATGATGCGTCTGAATTCTGAATGTTCGGATCCAAGTCTTTTGGAAGATTGTCGAGCCGGACAAAAATGGAAATGTGTGAATGAAAATGGACGATGGCGGAAACACAAGTGTAAATTCCATGTAAGTTCTATGGACCCAGACAGATTCTTCGAGGGTAATGACTTGGTTTCTTACAGTTACAATTACAGCACCATTTGGCAGAAATTTCCAAATATCCTAAGGGTCAAAATAAACGGAATTGTGCCTGTTTTACACCGGATGGTGTGGTCTATATTAAACCCGAAGTTCGGAAGAGGTAGGTGTGAGGATATTAATATTTTTTTTAGATTTTAGAATTTTTATTTTTTTCCAGAAACCAAAACTTTGGTAAAAACTCTCGTCGCCACAAAAGAGATACCGAGAATTTTGACATTGAAGAGCTCTATCACTCCGAGTTACCCTATGAAATGGAGGAGCTACTGGATATCCATAAAAATCTGCATAATCTTGAGCAGCATTTGTTGGAACAGCACAAGAAGAAGGCAGAAACGCTCTCCCGACCCAAACGGGAACTGACTGCAAATCTATTTGAGCCTCCCGAAACCTTGAACAGTGAAGAGAACAAGAAGAACAATGCCTCTAATGATGCCATATCCAAGGTAATACAAGAAATTCAGGATACCCTGGAAACTCTAGAACTGAAATTTGTCGAACATGATTGGACGGTGAACAGTACCTCCAAGACTGCAGCTACGAGGATGACCTCTGCCGGATTTGTAAGGGGTGGAAAGTTCCCCAAAGTAGGTGGTCGTGTTGGCACCCGATGTTATATTGAATCTCAGAGCGGCAAGGTCAATTGTTCCGATGTCATTTATGATGACGAGAAGACATGGCGTAAATCGCGATCACAAATTGATATGCTCATCAAGGTGCTGAAGGATAAAATCACCCATCTGAAGGATATCAAGAAGCAGCTTAGGGAAAGTAAGCAACAGCAACAACAGGGTAGCCATTGGAACAATGAATTTGTCAACAACAATAGAGGAGAGAGCTACAATACTGGCGATGGAAATACGAATGGCTATGGCACAGGATATCGCCATCAGAAAGGTCGTCATCGTGGACAACAGCCTGGCTATAATCGGCATTACAACAATGCCGGAGTTATGGGTAATCCGGCCAGTTCTGGCGGTAGGAGAAGAATAATTGAGGCAAATGTTGAACATCCAGAATTTGATATGAACTATTTCACAACAACGTCAAGAAGAACCAATTATGAGGACCTAATGACCTCGACACAGAAAAATAAGCATCGCAGCCAGCAGCTAGTGCCAAATTCATATTCGACCACAAATCTGCCAGAATCTCCAAAGAAAAGCACACCATGGCGGGGTGCATCGGAGGAAGGTGAGGTTTTAAAGTGTTTTGGGTGATAACATTAACTAAATCGTTTATATTTGCAGTTTCTCAAGGCAGTTATGAGGAGTCTGCTTATCCAAGCTCAACCCTGGAAAGCATAACATCCAGCTCTGAAATGGGTCAAAGGACCAAACCCAAACACCGAGGCCAAAAGGAAGAGGTCAAGGAGACCTATTACAATTCCAGGCATGACACTGGCAATACACAGTTTTCAGGACCTGCAGAGTGTTATTGTGAACCGGATACAGAGTAGGTTTTAATTTCCAAAAAAAATTGGACTCTTACATAATCCTGTATTATGCTTCCTTGCAGCTATCCAGATTCCAAAGAAATTGCCCGAGAGGCCAGACGTAAATTGAAAGAGGAGAGGCAACGCAAAAAGGAAAGAAAACGCATCAAGAAGGCCCGTCTTGAAAAGGAATGCTTGTCGGAGAAAATGAATTGTTTCTCACATGACAATAGCCATTGGCGTACCGCCCCCCTGTGGAATGACAGTCCATTCTGTTTCTGCATGAATGCCAATAATAACACCTACTCCTGTCTGAGGACCATAAATGCCACCCACAATTATTTGTATTGTGAATTTACCACCGGATTGATAACGTTTTATGATTTGAAAATTGGTAAGAGCATAGAAACAAATTTTCGTTACAAATAGGGTTTCCAATCCATTATTTTAACAAGGACATGACGAACACAAAATGTATTCTTTTAATCGTCAATTAAATAGGTACTTTTGTATGGACATGGAAAACTTAAGGCTGCAAATGCATAAAAAGCTTGAAGTCATGGCTAGGCATATTAATGCCAAATTATAATGAAAAACGATGGCAGGATTTTAGTGCGGCTCTGTAATTCCTTTGTGAAATGTCACAAAATAGGCCGTGCCATGACTTCAAGCTTCTTATGTACTTAGCCCTTAAGGGCTATGTTGATTAAAACACATGTTTTTTATTTAATTTATCCATTTAAATAATTTTTTCACAAACATTACAAATTTATGGCCGTTAAACTCTAAACTTCAACAGAACTTAAATTAGTAATGTGATGAATAATGAATACAAAAAAGAGAAATAAGAGAAAATTAGTAAAGAGTGTAGATTATTAAGAGAGAGAGAGAGAGAGAGAGAGATAATAAAGCGAGTGGTAGTGTTAAATGGGAGACGGTGATAACCCAATTTGTAATACATAGTGGAAAAAATCCTGTAAATCAAATATCACTCTTTTGTTTTTCTCCATTTTGTAGATCCATTTGAAACCTTGAATCGCGCCACTTCCCTAAGTCAAGCCGAGAAATCGTATATGCATGACACTTTGGCTAAACTTAAAAATTGTAAAGGTAAAAGTTGTACAATAAAACGTACAACGGTAGTGGTTAACGCTGCCAATGCGACAAGTAATAATGCCGTGTTACCACGAGGCACAAAACGCAAACATGGTATGTTCTTGGGGAGGTGTTATTTTAATTGTAATATTTTTTAATGTTTGTATCTTGATTTTTAGTTTCCAGTTTGATATCCTCATCGCTAAATGGTAATTCCGATTTCATTTCTAATCGCATGGACTATGAAGGATCCCAGGCGAAACGTAGGAAGTTGTCAAGGTAAGTAGAGGAATTTGCAGCAAAGTATTTTTGATTTAATAAAATGAATAATAGAAATATAAGGTATAATTGATGGTTTGAGGTTTTGCAAAATATTAGAAAACCTCCCGATAGGCTACGAAAGTAATTCATAAATATTGTTAGAAAAGAACATCCACAAAATTGTATACAAGTTTTCAAAAAAGGGGAAAGTTCCTCCCTCTTCCACACTTTTGGAAATTTTCGGATCAAGATTCCTCGGAATCCGTGCATTTTAGTCATATAGTGTTTTTGGGCAATATTGCAAATAAAATATAGGTTGTAGAAGACGTCAAAATTGTAAATCTTACCTAAATGCCAGGAATTCCGTAAGGAATGCCTACATTTTTTTTCAAGATGGGTTCAGATTTAGATATAGATCCCATATATATATATTTCCGATATATGGTTTATTGGTCACCAAATGGCCAATATCAGTCCAAATGACCTGAATTTTGGCACATCCGACCGAATTCCGTCTAGAAGCAAGTACATCAAATTTGGTTCAGTTATAACTATAGCTCCCATATATAAGTTTCATCCGATTTGGTTTTTAAGTCCAAATATGCTCTCCACAATAATGATATTTGGTACCAGATATCTTATGGAGCTCGGAAATACATTTGCCAAATTTTATCGAGATCGACTCAGTTTTGGATATGGCTCCCATATATGTATTCTTAATCCGATTTAAGGTTTATTGTGCAAGTAATGACTAATATCAGCGTATCAGCAATACGTTTCCATTTGGTGGAACTTGTCTCCGATATATATTTTTATACCCTCCACCATAGTATGGAGGGTATATTAAGTTTGTCATTCCGTTTGTAACACCTCGAAATATACATTTTGTACCCCCCAAAGCATCCGTCCGTCTGTGAAAATCACTCTAGCTTCCGAACGAATTGAAGTAGATTGATAAAACTTTACTCAAATGTGTATTATGTCTGCAGGACTTTTGGTATTTAAAACTGGGTCATGTAGGTCCACGTTTTGGTCTAGCCCCCATATAATGGTACCTCCCTCTTTCGGTATTTTGGCGATTTTAGCGACATTTTTCACCGGAATTGTTCCAAATTTGGTATTTGAAATTCAAAGTGGATACTACAGCCTATGACAGAAAATTGTCCGTAAATGTCCACGACCTCGTATAGCCCCCATATAACGGCAACTCCTGATATTCGATATTTTGATGATTTTAGCGACATTATCACCGGAATTGTTTCAATTTTTTTTTTATTTGAAGTTCGTAATGGATATTACAGCCTATGACAGAAAATTGTCTTTGCAGGTCCACGTCTTCGTATAACCCTCATATATCGGTACCTCCCGATATTCGGTACTTTGATGATTTTAGCGACATTATTCACCAGAATTTTTTCAAGTTTGGTATTTGAAATTCGTATTGGATTCTACAGCCTACGACAGAAAATTGTCTGTGCAGGTATACGTCTTCATATAACCCTCATATAACAGTACCTCCCGATATTCGGTACTTTGATGATTTTAGCGACATTATTGTATGTGCAAGTCAACGTCTTCGTATAGCCCCCATATAACGGTATCTCCCGACATTCGCTTATGACAAAAGTTGCCTATGCAGGTCCACGTCGTCGTATAGACCCTAATATAACGGATACATTCGGTATTTTTAAGATTTTAAAATAATTTTTTAACGGATTTTCCAAATGCTGGAGGGTATTCAAAGTTCGGCTCGGCTGAAGTTTCAGCTGTTTTACTTGTTTGTTTTTAATTCGTTGAAATAGACATATATCCCAAAAGCTCCTAAAATAATACATATTTTTTAAATCTGTATTTATAAATATTTTTAAATAATCTATTTAAAATTCTCTTCTCTTTTCAGTCGCTGGCCACCAAGTACCACCATAAACAACAACAACAATAATATACGACGCAACAAATGGAAATTGCAACATGTAAATCATCAGCATCATTCCTATTATAATCCTCATCAGATGGGTCAACATTTAAGACCACCAGCCTACAATACCAATCACCACAATAGGATGATACATCAACAACAACAACAGCAACACCATCATCCACAGCAGCAGCCGCAGCAGCGACAGTCACCACAATCTATAGCATCGGAGCGGGGTAATAGTATTCGCAGAAATCGTTATCATGAAGAGGACACACAATACCAGCAACAAAACTATCCACACAATGTTGAAGTTAAAAAGGCGCTGGCATCAGCAGTCAACACAACAACGACAGGGCAACAAATGAAAGAGGCCAAGGATATTAGTGTGGGTGGTGGCCACAAAAACGACAACAATAATAATAGTAATACAACTTCATATTCAGAAACTGTTGCCGCTGATGGTAACAATTCCAATTGGATGTCATCGTCTTCTTCTTCGTCAACACCAGTGCCATCATCCGATTCTGTGGCAGCAGCTGCTGCAGCATCATCATCCCTGCAGACATTAAGTGGCGAAGACCAGATGGACGATGCAGCTGAGTTTTTAAGAATTCAGAAAAACCAACAGCAGCATCAACAACAGTCCCAACAGCAACCTATGACCACATTACCCGAATTAAGCCTGTAGTTAAGTATTTAAATTGTGAATTCCTTAAAAAAATATTTTTTGAAACAAAAAAAAATAACCAACCAATTATCCAAAACAAATTTTGTCATTAGAATATTTATAAGTTAACAAGAAAAGCAAAAAAATTATGCGCGTTATTTAGGCAAAGCAAAAGTGAACCAAAAAAAAAAAAAAAATCTATGATCGATCTACTCTGGGACGATGCAGGCATTATGAGCAGCTATGCAAAGGATCAAAACATTTTAGGGACATGGAAATTCAAAACCTGAAGTGTTTTAGTTGCGATAGATAGATAATCCTTAAAAAAAATTTAAAATTCCACAATTTTCAAATCGAATACAAAATTATTAAAAATATTTGCCTAAAGATTCGTATATAGCTTCGTTTATGGATGGTCATGATGCCTTTATTGTCCCACCACAAACAAAATTCATTCCCATTAAAGAAAAAAAAAACAAACCAAACAAGACGTCCGCTCAAATGAAAATCAACAAAGTTTGAAATGATATTAACGAAAATTCGAAATTATTTATATATGTAGTAATATATACGAACAAAAATTATAAGTATGTATATGCTCATTAATTATTAGAAAAATTAAAAACAAAAAATTAAATAATTTAGAGAAGAAAAACAACGCTCCTCTCAACAACATATCCGCCAACTGCATATCTCTATCTCTCTCTATTTCTCTTCTAAACAAAACCGTCAAACATTAAATAATTTACTATTATTGTTGTTGTTAGATAACCTAATGAAATCGGAAAACATAAAGATAAACATAACCTATAATTCATAATTAAGCTAATCGGTAGTTAGGTGGTGTTATACGAAAGGATATGATGAGAAGGGAGTCTCTTAGACTTTCAGAAGACGAACTGAAGGGAGTCTTTTAGACTTTCGTAAGTCGAGCTGAAGGGAGTCTTTATGAAAGAGCTAAGAGAGGAGTCTGTATAGATAAGCTGGAGCCCAGTGAGTCTCTATAGACGAGCAGCAGCCCAGGGAGTCTCTATAGATGAGCTCTGGCCCAGGGAGTCTCTATAGATGAGCTGGAGCCCAGGGAGTCTCTATAGACTAGCTGAAGCCCAGGGAATCTTTATAGACAAGCTGGAGTCTGTATAGACGAGTTGGAGCCCAGGGAGTCTCTACAGATGAGCTGGAGCCCAGGGAGTCTCTACAGATGAGCTGGAGCCCAGCGAGTCTCTATAGATGAGCTGGAGCCTAGCGAGTCTCTATTGATGAGCTGATGGTCAGGGAGTGTCAACAGACGACCTGAAGGTCAGGGAGTGTCAATAGACGAGCTGAAAGTGAGGGAGTGTCAACAGACGAGGAGTCTCAATAGACGAGCTGAAGGTCAAAGAGTCTCAATAGACGAGCTGAAGGGCCAGGGAGTCTTAATAGACGAGCTGAAGGTCAAAGAGTCTCAATAGACGAGCTGAAGGTCAGAAAGTCTTAATAGACGAGGTGAAGGTCAAAGAGTCTCAATAGACGAGCTGAAGGTCAGAAAGTCTTAATAGACGAGCTGAAGGCCCAGGAGTCTCAATAGACGAGCTTAAGGCCCGGGGGTCTCAATAGACGAGCTGAAGGCCCGGGGGTCTCAATAGACGAGCTGGTGTCCAGGGAGTCTGTATAGACGAGCTGGTGGCCAGGCAGTCTGTATAGACGAGCTTATTCCCAATGGATGATAATTATCCCCACTGATTGATAATTTATGCATATTCCTGGATAATTGTTCCACGTTGGAAAACTTATCCTCATGTCTGGATAATTTAATAAATTTGGGAGTATATTTTATCTACATTGGGTTGTGTGACATATATCTCATGATATCTTTTCGTATAACTCCTGAAACCAAATCCCACATTATTCCGAACTGCTTATTAGTCTCTGTAATTAAACAGGAATTACAACAATAATAATTGTTGATCTGCCATTGCAACTTGTAGTTGAAAGCTATTTTAAGGATACAACTCCTTTGCAGGCTTATGCGTAACAACTAACGCATATCTCTCCTACAAATAACGTCTTACTCTAATCTCTATATATAAACATACATATAACATGCTCTATATTAACAACTAAAGTAACTAAATTATGCTTAATAAAAAAACAACACTAAAATATGAAAATGTAATGAAAAACAATTTAACTACCCCTGGTTTAGAATTTTCAAACGATTTCAAAATATGTAATATTAATTGGCATTAATTCATAATTTTCCACACACACACATTCAAAGAACCTTTTTGAACTATTAAATTTAAAAATAAGCAAACAAACAAATCCTATATACTATTTCTCCTTCTAAACTTCGAGCAATTGGTTTATGTGTAGAAAAATAAAATAAAAAATTAACAAAACGAAACCAACAATTACTAAACATAACTATATATGTTGTTTAAAACTAAGACTGTTTACAAAATAATTAAAAACCAATTACATATATAAATGGAGGCAAAGTTTAAATAAATTAAAAAAAATTGTGTTGCAAAAAAAGAATTAGTTTTTGCCAGTTGTTAAATTAATTTTACCAACATAGAAAAAAAAAAACAGAAAAGAAAAAAACTACCAGCTACTTTGCTATAATTAATAAGTTGTAATTACATATATGTTTTAATAAAAATAAAAAATATCCCACAACGTTTAAAAGTGTTAATGGATTTTTCTTTAGAATAAATAAATATTATCTATATTTCTTTTCCCCTTCGTCTTCTTGCCATTTTCTATAGATATATATAATGTATGTATTTATGTATTCAATTTAATTATTTCTTGGCAATATTTTCTATAAACGTTTATATATTTATTTTTCTACATTTATTTTAATTTAAATTGGTAATAATGTATTGTAAAATAGAAAATAATTTTTTAATAAAATTAAAAATTTAAAAGGAAAAAAGAGAAAATACTGTTTTATTTTTATAAATTGCAAACGGGGTGAAGCTTATTAGTAAACTGAACTATTAAAACTGCCTGAACAGCTTGTCATAGCTGAACAAGGTAAAATCGACGACTTCCATGACTGCAAGATCAGCTCTGATTCATCCAGATTTAATTACTTATACAGGGTGGGATGAAAAAACTGCAACCAACTTCAGACTGCTGTCATTTCTAAGCCAGTCGTCCGACAGCTGTTAAAATTCTTCCAGTGACAGTTTGTTTACAAGCGTACAAAAGCATTTTGGTTAGAATTTTCCAGAAAAATAGTTATTCGTGATGGAATTCAAGCGTGATAGTGTGATTTCTTTATATTTGGCTGGAAAACCACAAGTGACTATCGTTAGAGCACTCCACCATTAAAATGTGAATAAATCTTTTGTGTCTCGTACCATCGCTCGTTACCGTGTTACTGGTAGCGTAGTCCGACGTCAAGGAAGTGGACTTCAGAAAACAGCAACATCAGCAGAAATGGTTCGAAAAGTAAAGAAGCGACTTAATCGAAACCGGCGTCGCAGTGGCCGAAAAATGGCTCGTGAGCTGAACATGTCGCCATATTCCATTCGGCAAGTATTTAAAAATGAGCTCGGGATAAAGACATTGAAATTCCAAAATGTGCAAGATCTTATACCACAAAAGAAAGAAAGTAGACTCAAAAGGGCTAAAGAGTTGCTTCGCTTGGCCGAAAGTGGTGAACTGCCGAATTTGGTTTTCTCCGATGAGAAAACATTCGTTGTCCAGCAGTTTGTAAACAAACAAAATGATCGTGTTTACTTGCCAAAGAGGTCAGCTGAAAATGTGCAACTTCGGTTGGCCACCAGAACTCAAGCACCGGCCATGGTAATGGTGTGGGCCGCCATAACAGCCGATGGTGGCTGTCCGCTCGTATTAATCGACCTTGACATCAGAATAAATGCCGAATATTATTGCGAAAATGTTCTGGAGGGTGCAATTAAGCCTTGGGCACGCAAACATTTTGGCCGCAGACCTTGGACATTCCAACAGGACTCAGCACCATCGCACTCAGTACCCAAGAATGGTTACAAAATGAGGTTCCTCGCTTCATTTCCAGCGCACAATGACCACCAGAATCTCCGGATACCAATTCATTGGACTATTGTGTCTGGAGTATTTTGGAAAGCAAGGTTGGCACTAAAAAATGCCAATGTGTTGTTCACTTCAAGCAAGCGCTTCGCCGGGAATAGCCCAAATTACGCAGATGCTATTTCAATAAAATGTAAAAATTATGGCATTTGACTTTGTTAAATTTTTTATATATCACCCTGTATATTGCTTAAAATTTTATAATCTGTGCTGACATTGAGCTTCTGAAAAACTGCAACCCCTTCTTGTAGTCTTAGTTGTGTTTATGCCTCTGCAATCATACAGGATCCGTGATTTTTTTCGTAATTCACTATTTCCAGTCACTATCCACTATTAAAGTCATTTCAAATAAGCATTCCCATCCCCGCATTTTCTGTAAATTACCTCGTCAAATTTCTATGCATGAAAAACAGTTCCCATCTCTGATTTTGTGTGTATACAATGGATTTATGAATATAGATTTTGACAATGAAATGTTGTCAAATGTATAAATTTGAAAATGACTTTACTTTTTTAGTTCTACCATGGCTAGTACTTTTCTCTGCAATTTTGTGTAACCTATAAACCTTTGTACGGATTCCGAGGAATCTTCATCCGAAAATTTACGAAAGCGTTGAAGAGAGGGGAACTTGCCACCTTTATTTTTGTTACTTTTCTATGTAAACTTTCAAAACGCCGATACACCAACTTTGAAAAAATTGCAAGTATTGAGGTCTACCTGTTTGGCTTGTAATGTCAGAATTAGTATCAAAACAATTGAAAATCAAACAACTTGTTGCATATATTTTGAATAAATAATTGAAAAACGCGATAACTGAATGAAAGGTCAACACTTCTTTTCAAAATCATGTACTATATATCTCTAAAGGATTATTTCGCTACAAAAACTCAAGATTTTGTCGATGCATACGTTGAAATAAACATTTTGAAAAGACCCGAATTGTACCATGGGTACAATGATATCAAGGTAGGGCTATGACATCATATGATTTTAATTTTTTTATTTTCTTGGCTTAATGTGCAAGAAAACGAATACATAATCAAATAAAGATGATTTGATTATGTATTCGTTTTCTTTTCAATAACAAAAAGTTTGTTTAGAAAATATTCAAATTCGGATGTTTTCAAAATGCTTATTTCATCGTATGCATTGACAAAATCTAGAGTTTTTGTAGCGATATAATCCTTTAGGGGTATATAGAACCTGGTTTTGAAAAAAAGTGTTGACCTTTCATTCAGTTTTCGCGGTTTTCAATTATTTATTCAAAATTAATGCAACAAGTTGTTTGATTTTTTGTTTTTTTGTTTTGATACTAATTCTGACATTACAAGCCAAACAGGCAGACAAGTTGGCCTACCTTCTCTTCATTGTACCATGATTGTACCATGCTTAAAACTAATAAAATACAGCTCAAGGATGTGGATCCGAATTATTCGAAAAGTTGTTCACATTTATTTGAATAAGTTAAAACGCGTGAAAGATGAAAGAATTTCCTGCACTTCTTTCAAAAATTGGATCCAAATGTTTTATAATTCACTTCCATAGTACGGGCACACTATGAAGTTTTTTTAATGGTTTGGATAATATTTTGTTTTTGAAAACAATTAAGTCGGACCAATTCAGAAAAAATGTAATTATCTGGAAACTTTAGCATACCTTTTTATTGTACCGATTCAGAGGAGAAGGATATAAAGATTTTCATTAGCCTGAAAGTGATGATGCACAAGCACCTTGGAAACATGACATGTCATATTTTGTGACATCATAAAGGGATATCAGAGCCACACTCATATCCTGGCTTCTTATTTGCTAATAATATGATATTACTATGTCATGCTATGATGCCATGCTGCTTATGTATCATGACTTCAAGGCTTTAATTAATAAGCCTATAACAATAGCACAACAAGGCCAGGGCCCATATTTTAGGTCGAATTCATTGAGAAGGGTAGAGAAACAGGTTATATCTTGGAAGTATTCGGTCATATCACGTTTTAGATCGAGGATTCAATTTAATAAAGCCCATGGCTCAATAAGAAAGGTTGCTCAACTTCAAAGAAACAAGAAAAATGCAACTCTGTGCTGGGGGTTATAGTGTCAAATAGACTTTTAAATATGCAATAGTTGGTTTTGTTTATTTTTAATTTTTTTTTTAAAAAAATTCTTATATTCGCGAAACAAGAATGGAACTTTGGGATAATTTTACAAGATTGATTCTACAAAAGTAGGACAATACAGTTTTATCCCAATATTGTGCAATGTGTTGCCCATTAACATCGAAAGTATGCATTTATTTTCCAACCAAATTTGAAATAATTTCAAATTTTTGTATTTTTTATTGAAAACAATACACACACATACACAAAATTTGTATATGTTTTGACAGAATAAGGGCACCAAAAGAAAGAAAAATGTATTCAGGGGGTAGCTTTGTTCTACCTTTTGTAAATCTGCCATGAAAAAACCCATCTCTCTTTGTCTTTCTATTGTCTGGTCCTGTGTAAACGCAGAGTAAACGTACTACAAGATCATTGGTTTTGACACACCCTGCTTTTTAAACTCGATTTATATAAACCTAGCATACGTTAGGATTCCACCTTCAAATCCCTATCTTTACCAGCCGGTTTGTTTTGATTCTTCTTCTACGTTCTTTTTTTTTTTGAACCAAAATTAAATTTAACTCTGTTTATATCAATCAATTTCCTAAAAAAATCACATTGGAAATTACTTAGAATTATTATCAATAATTCATTTCAATTTGGGGTACAACCTGACCTTTTGTATTCTGATGATCGCCAAATTAGCTCTCTACAATAAGAAGGAGTTCGCTGGATAGCCAAATATATATATATATCTTACATTCGTCGTTGTTTTTCCAAACAAAATCAAAATGAGACGAGCCCAGAAATTAAAAATCCAAGTCATACAAAAGGAGCAAATGCAATTGGTTAAAATAGAAAAGACGCTGGAAGAGCTATTGGGAAACATCAATGAATCAATTAACACCTTGAAGGTAAGGACACAGATGAAGACAATTAAGATTTGTTTTAAAATTCATATCTTTAGGTGGAAGAATTACAATTGAAATCCAATTTAGTTGAGCTCTACACCTCCTCTCGTGAAAATGGGAATCCTACAACATCGTCGCAGGCCCTTGCAACAACTAAAATTGACACCCCATCAGCTATATTTTCAACTTTACCCATTGATTCCATGTCGGAACAGGTTGCCATAGACGATGGTATCAATAAGCAATTATTGGATTTGGAATCGTTGTTAGTGCCTATGAAAAGAAAAGCTGTAGCAGACAGTGAAGAAGAGGAGGAGGAAGAAGATGACACTGATACCGAAGAGGATATGGAGGATGAAGAATTTGTGATGGAATAATTTGGAAATGTATGTAGAAATATACATATTTTTGTGTATATATAAGAGGGTGGCAATGAAGACACTGACTCCGAAGAAATTATGGACGATGAAGAATTTGTGGTGGAATAATTTAGAAAAGTTTGCATATAAAAGTACATAAAGCCTAAATTGAAAAATTGGCGCTTAGATTGCGAAGGGCATATTGAGAACCGTTTTGAAAATGGAACCACATACAGTCCTTGCACATACCGAAGCCCAAATTTCTCAATTCATGGGCTTCTAAACTCCGAAAATAGACCCTTTTTTCTCATTGCTTCTAAGGCCCACCAAGAGTCTAAATCAAGTTTTCGGTTTGACTTAGGCCAAAAAAATTAATATATTGGAGGGACAAGACCTGTATTTCCATGGAGTAATATCGCTGTACTAATAGAAATATAATGTAGAAAGTTTAGAATTGAAACTTGTTTGAAATGCAATGAAAGTAATTTCGATATTTTAAGGATAACCAAATTAACGGCCAAAACTTCACCTCAGGCACACTGTTTGAATAAGGAAAGCAATCTTTTAATATATTTACCAAAATTCTCGTTCAAATTTGTATACACCGTTTAATAAGGGTTTAAGGCCCTAGGTCTCTTTAGACCAAATCTATAGAACCGATCTAGCGATGTCCGTCGTACGTCTGGCTGGTGCGCTCGATAACTCTCGAAGGTAGTATCCGATTTGATCCAAAGTTGGTACTTCGTAATATTATTGTCAAACTTTGATCGAGTTCGGAGATGGGCACTATCGGTCCACTCCTTCTGTTACCTCCTACACAAAATGTCAAAATTTTCAAAGAAAATAATTTATTGCACAGAAAGAGAAAGGATAATCCGATTTTGCTCCAACTTTGCGAATCCAAAAATTTTCATCAGTTTAGGTCATGTGCGAAAATGGACAATACGGTCCACTATATCAGGTACCTCCCCCACAAAGGTCGAAAATAATAAAATAGTTTACTGCACAGAAAGAGAAAGTTCTAGGTCTGTTGAAAAAATGGACAATATCGGCCCACCCCATCAAGTATCACCCCCACAAATGGTAAACAATTTTGAATAATGAAAACAATTATAAAATCTGAAATAACCATCCGGTTCTCTTTATATTTCACACATCCCATTTATTCTACTAACACAAGATTTGCTGTTAAGATGGAATATATCGGTACACTCTTTCTGGTACCTCCATCACAAAGGTTTCTTCTAGGGTTTTTTCACAGAAATTTTGCTTTTATTTTACGTCCCCCATGACTGATAAGACATCATCATAGTGACCCAGTGTTTGCGTATGGATCTAAATTGGAGTAACACTATGAAAACCTCCAAAATATCCAAATAACTGAGACTGTTGTTATAATAATATATATTTATTTATTATAGTCATTATTGCGAGTAAGGTATACAATATAAGGACATGTGTATTTATAAGTATATAATTACAAAGCGTTATTTATTAAAAAGTGAACGTATTACATACAATCATAAAATAAATAGCAAAAAAAATACAAAGAATATGCCAAAAGGAGATCAAATTTTAAGTAAAGTAATTTTGGATAATTTGAAAAAGGAATATTTTTTTAAATAATAATACGAAAAAGTAGTTTTCGGTTATTTCTATAAGTAATACATTTTATTAAGATTAATATTTTATAAATCATTATTTTGTTAACTTTTGTATTTTAATAATAATAAAAAAATGGTATAAACCAACACTTTAGTTGTCATAATTTACAATAATATTTAGGTTACCTACTAAATACACTATTTTACAATCATGAAATAAATACTAAAGGAAATGTTAAATAAAACTTTGGTAGAAAAAAAATGCAAATTTGTTCATTATGTTTCCATTGGGGAATTGAATCGGAAATTTACACAAATATATGGTTAAAAGGCAAGTAGAGATCAGAATAAACAAAAAAGGCAAGTAGAGATCAGAATAAGTTTTGTTTTCGCCAAAAGTTAGTGTTCGGGAATCTCATAGGATTGAAATGGACTGGCTAAATTGTATTTATAACTTATTGTTTCGAGATAACAGGGATAACTTATAATTAAATGAATACGTTAAATATTGGTTTGTACAATTTCATCGGTTGTAAAATAAAAATACTGAATCTCATCTACCAATTTTATGGAATTTGAATGCAAACATTAGCAACCGTTGTATAGCTTAACTTTTTCAACTCTAAAGACATTGGAACGGCTTCGTGGTTATTTTCGGAATGTCTAACTCTCACTACCACCAATCTATGGCGCAGATAAATACATTAATATAGAATTCTTTAAAAATAATAATAAATACTATAGACTAGATAGAATTGTAGATCAATATAATATATGGTTAAGATTAATTGTCCATTATTCTCCATGTTTTTGTTTTTTTTTTTTTTAATTATTCACATTGATAAAGTAAAGAAATAAAGAGGTCAGCAAATTTTAGTTTTATAATAGAGATTGTTCCAGCATTATTCTCTCAAAACCATTTGGTGGAGGATAATGGAAATTATCTAAAATTATGTCCAAAATAGCACCATTACCAACTGAAAGATAAAGAAATAGAACGCGTTTATTAATATATTTAAAAAATATTAAATTAATAAAAAATAAGTTAAATAAAGTGATTAAATATTTTTTAAAGAAAAGATCTTAATTCTGAAATAGCTTCAAATTTTAGAATAAATTTAGATTTGTTCTAATTGGTCAAGTTCGCTGCACGAAAGTTGCTCTGCGGTATTTTGGCCCATTCTGGCGAAGCGCTTGCTTGAGGTGATCGACACTTTGGTATTTTTTAGTGCCAACCTTGCTTTCCAAAATACTCCAGACACAATAGTCCAACGGATTGGTATCCGGAGATTTTGGTGGCCATTGTGCGCTGGAAATGAAGCGAGGAACCTCATTTTGTAACCATTCTTGGGTGGCGCTTGCTGAGAGCGATGGTGCTGAGTCCTGTTGGAATGTCCAAGGTCTGCGGCCAAAATGTTTGCGTAGCCATGGCTTTAATACACCCTCCAGAGCGGAGAGCGACCATCGGCTGTTATGACGGCCCACACTATCACCATAGCTGGTGCTTGAGTTCTGGTGGCCAACATGATCATTTGGTTTGTTTACAAACTGCTGGACAACAATTTTTTTCTCATCGGAGAAAACCAAATTCGGCAGTTCACCACTTTCGGCCAAGCGAAGCAACTCTTTAGCTCTTTTGAGTCTATTTTCTTTCTGTTGCGTTGCAAGTTCTTGCACTTTTTGGAATTTCAAAGGCTCATTTTTCAAGATTTTCCGAATGTTATTGAAAATGGGCTATGTAGGTCCACGTTTTGGTATAGCCCCCACATAATGGTACCTTCCGATATTCTGTATTTTGATGATTTTAGCGACATTATTCACCGGAATTGTTTTAAATTTGGTATTTGAAGTTCGTAATCGATACTACAGCCTATGACAGAAAATTGTCTAAACAGCTCCAGGACTTCGAATAGGTCCCATATATCAGTACTTCCCTATATTCGGTATTTTGGTGATTTTACCATTATTGACCGGAATTGTTTCAAATTTGGTATTTGAAGGTCGTAATGGATGCTAAGTTCGTAATAGGTACTACAGCCTATAGCAGAAAATTGTCTGTGCAGGTCCACGTCTTCGTATAGCTCCCATATGATGGTACCTCCCGATATTTGGTATGTTGATGATTTTAGCGACATTATTCAACGGAATTGTTTCAAATTTGCTATTTGAAGTTCGAAATGGATACTACAGCCCAAGACAGAAAATTGTATGTGCAGGTCCCCGTCTTCGTATAGCCCACATACAACGGTGACTCTCGATATTCGGTATTTTTATGATTTTAGCGACATTATTCACCGGGATTATTTACAATTTGGGATTACAGCATAATCATATGCTTTCGTTGCAGTACCTGCTTGGGTGTTACCGTGAGAGTCATCCCAACCATCATATGGTGGATAACTCTCCCCCACCCAGGCGTGTCAGGAAGGACATACATGATCTAGAGAGGGAGGTCCAGCGCTACAAGAGAGAGCCTCTAGATCAAGAAGCCTATCAGGCAGGTCTGAGTGGCATTCACACATGCAGTCGCGGATGCTATTAGCAGTTATAAAGTGAATGCCGTCCTCGGAGTCCACTCCCCATCCATTGCAGCCGAAGAACGTCAGCTGCCTAGACAAAACAGGGTAGTTTTGGCGCAATTACGTTCAGGATGGTGTAGTCGTCTCAATTCGTATTGGGCACGAATTGATGAAGATGTGCGTGACGCCTGCCCGGCGTGCGATACAGGCCCGCACAATACGCTACACCTTTTTAATTGCTCAGCCAAACCTACCCAACTCACTCCAGAAGATCTCTGGATACAGCCCGTTAAAGTAGCCGAATTTCTAAACCTGGAGCTGGAACCAGATTAGCAGAACGCAAACACATACATGTACTACTGCTACAACAACAACAACAACAACAACAATTTGGTATTTGAAGTTCGTAATGGAGAAAACAGCCTATGACAGAAAATTGTCTGTGCAGGTCCACGTTTTGGTATAGTCGCCAGATAACGATACCTCCCTATATTTGATATTTTGATGATATTAGCTACTTTATTCACCTTATTTTTTCAAGTTTTTTATGTAAATATTGTAATGGCTTATGACAAAAGTTGTCTACTCAGGTCCATATCTTCTTATAGGCCCCGATATAACGGCTATATTCGATATAACGGTTATTTTAAGATTTGAACAGAATTTTTACCGGATTTTATTTTTTGAAAATATTCAAATTTGTTTCAAATTTGTTAGGGTATTTAAAGTTCGGCCCTGTCGAAGTTACTGCTTTTTTACTTGTTTATCGTTATGATGATATCAAGAGGTTCGAAGTAAGTTCTTGCCTAATCATAACTTAAAAAATCTCCTTGTAAAGGATATCTATTGAATAATATGTTTTAGAGAATATTTGTAAAGGGAAATACTCAACTCAATCGATGTGCACCATAAAAGGTAGAACCCTGCAAAAATTTGCATAAAATTTCCTATTCCCTATGTTAGTCAAGTAAGCACCTAAAATATGTTTCGCAGCACAAGACAGTGTGAAAGTCGAAGAAATAAGAGATTAATCTAGGTACATCATCTTCACTACCATATATTGCAAAATAAAGGCTTGTGGCTTCACGGTAATTTGGCCATCTGATCAAATTCTGAAGTCCCAGATTTTCAGTAGGTGAGATTCGTTAAGCTAGAGCATTTCTTTACTTTGGTATTAGTAATAGGTGTGTCTGGTTATCGCAAATTTGTAATAATTGTTGCAAATTTTTAACTTTGAAGTCGTCTGATAACGCTAAAGTTAAACATATAAGAACGATTAAGTATAGGGCTTTCGACAATTTTTGCTGTACAAATTTCTTCTTGCATCTTTCTTCCAGTGATTTATATTTGAACAAGCAATTTTAAAAAAATCTTTTTTTGAAAACCGGTAGCCAAGTTCTTTTGTTTTTCCTCTCATTTTAATTTTGTACGTGTTTCATTTCATTTTATGGCGGACAAATTACTTCGTTTTGTCAAATAATGTTTTTATAGGAGTTCCTTCCATATGTTTACTTTTCTCAAAAAGAAGCTCCCGGACAATCCCTGCTCAAAAGTAACCAGACCAACCTACTTTCGTTCACAGACTGAGATAGATTACTCTAACGTTACCAATTTCATTTCGAAAATTATACCACCAATACTTACCATATATAACCGGAAAAACAGTACTGGCTTTGACATTTTGAAATGGTGCCTCCAATTTTTTACCATTAAAATAGAAATTCAGCTCAATATGATCGAATGACACTCCAACAATATCACCTTCATCGGGAAATTGGTTTTCATTTGTTCGTTCCTTGTTCGGTATACTGCTACCTTCCTGAGTTGAATCTTTTATTTCTACACCGCCATCACTGCGACCGGTTGTCAGCAGCAAATCTTCATTGATGTCCTCAATACCTATTAGACCCGGTACTGAGGTACCATTTATTATAACATCACCGCCATTACCAATGGTTTTTGTTGGTTCATTTGTTGTGGCCACAACCGGACCATATTCTTCACCATTGTGACGCGTGACATTATCGGAACATAGGCACCAACTTTCCTTATCCAGACCACCGTATTTTTTATCTAAATCTGCTTGGCGTGTCGCCAAACCAACGGACCAAATTCCCTTCTGTTGGATTTTCACTTCGAAATATGATTTCGATTGGACCAATGGAGCTGTGCCCAAAGCACCTCCAGTACCCGTAATCCGTAGATAATTGGACAGCAGTATGACTTCAGTGCCTGTTGGGAGATAACATTGTTGTTGCATTTATAATGGATATTTTCTTATCATTCATTATTTTTTTCTTTCATACCAGCATTTGCAACATCCAAATGAATTTCAGGCTCTTTAACTCGATTCACCACGGTTTTATTTGACTGGTGTATACTGCCATTTAAACAAGACCGTAGGCAACAGAACATTTTCCTTTGTTTTTGTTATTTTTTGTAAGTTTAATTGAATACTTTTTTATATATTTGTCTTAATTATTTATCAGCTGAATTCACCAATCTGTTTGTTTTGCAAATAAATATCGAATTGAATTATCGATAAGTCACTAATCGAATTATTTTACAAAAATATACTATCTTTCGCAATTGGCATATTGGTACTAATTAGTACAATTTTCTCCTATATCTTAAGAATACACCATGGTAGAAGTAATAGGTAGACGCATCGACACAGCTGTTGGGACAATGAACTGTCAAACCAATTTTGGAATTGAAAATGTTGAATGAAAATGTATTTAAATTTGTAAAAATTGTTGAAAAACGCGAATTATAATAACCTCCGAATGACGAATAAGAAAACATATGAAGATCTACTTATATTTGAAAAAACATTTAAATTTTTTTGACATATCAATGCTCCCAAACGTTGATGCATCTACCTGTATTCTTCTGCCATGGAATACACCTAAGTCTGTTTTTACACTTGTAAAAAAGACATTGATCTTATACAAAAAATGGGTGATTTGTTCCTAATCTCTAAAACCTATTAAAATTAGTGAGAAACAAGAATTTTTATTTTTTTCTTTACCAAACACGTCTTATTGCATTAACAGTTCACAAAATATTAACACGTTTCAATTGCTCTGACCAGTAAATTTTATTGAATGCACATAGTGCTATTCACATTTGCTTTGACCAGTAAAAATTGTTTGTACGCGCTAAAGGGGAATTCCTTAAAACTTTAAGCTAGTGTTCGCAAACTATCGATGGTTTCAGACTTTTTTCTTTCATAAATACTTTTTTGTGATATGAACATACTTCGCAAAAATTAAATTTGACAAAAAAATTTAAGTACATAAAATTTCAAATCTTGCTAAATGGAATAAAATCGTGTAAATAAATTAAAAATATTCAATTTTCAAACCGTGTTATATCAAAACCGGGTACAAAAAGACCATGTAAAAACAGACTTAGGTGTATATCAATTATGAATTCAAAATGAAATACGAAAAAGATAATTTTTCTCGAATTTGCGAAGTTAGGTAAGGTTAAAGGTTGCGCGTTTGTACAAACAAACCACTCCTCTTGAGACCTATTGGTCCATTGTGTTTATCATAATTTAAAGAAGATATGAGAACAGAACAAGCAAAAAAGCTGTAAGTTCGGCCGGGCCGGAATTTGAATACCCTCCACCATTTGGAACGAATTTAGCAATTATCAAAAATAATAAAATCCGATAAAACTTCTGTTAAAATCTTACCGAATGTAGCTATTAGATTAGGGTCTTTACGACGACATGAACCTGCGTAGGTAACATTTGTCATAAGCCATTACAATATTCAAATGCGAAACTAAAAAAAATCGGTTATAATGTCGATAAAATCAAAATACCGAATATCGGGAGGTACCCTTATATGGGGGCTATACGAAGACGTGGACCTGCACAGACAATTTTCTGTCGTAGGCTGCAGTACCCATTACGAATTTCAAATATTAAATTTGAAACAATTCTGGTGAAAAATGTCCCCAAAATCATTAAAATACCGAATATCAGGAGGTACCGTTATATGTAGTATCCATTACGAACTTTAAATACCAAAGTTAAAACAATTCCGGTGAATAAATTCGCTAAAATCATCAAAATACCGAAAATCGAGAGGTACTGTTATATGGGGCTCTACGAAGACGTGGAACTGCAAAGACAATTTACTGTCTTAGGTTGTAGTATCCATTACGAACTTTAAATACCAAATTTGAAATAATTCCGGTGAAGAAATTCGCTAAAATCATCAAAATACCGAATATCGGGAGGTACAGTAATATGGGGGCTATACGAAGGCTGTAGTATCCATTACGAACTTCAAAAACCAAATTTGAAACTATTTTGGTGAAAAATGCCGCTAAAATCATCAAAATACCGAATATCGGGACGAACAGTTATATGGGGGCTATAACAAAACGTGAACATACATGTCCCATTTTCAATACCAAAAGTCCTGCAGACATAACATACATTTGAGCAAAATTTTATCTATCTGCTTCAATTCGTTCGGAAGCTAGAGTGATTTCCACAGACGGATAGACGGACGGACATCGCTAAATCGACATAGAATTTTATGCTGATCAAGAACATATATACTTTGTCGGGTCCAAAATGTGTATTTCGAGGTTTTACAAACGGAATGACAAATTTAATGTACCCTCCATACTATGGTGGAGGGTATAATAAAGAAAAGAGAAGGAAATGAATAGCGGATAGCAAAAATCTGAATAAAGAGTAAAGAAGTTAGTAGGTTTGCATCCACGGTGTATTCAGCGTGCCGTCCTTAGCCATTTTAGTCGTCTGGCTAACTGAAGAATGGCCGCTGGATCGATGTCGGAGAGGGAGGACAAGTCTGGCAGAATTTACTTACCCAATAGCCTCTTTCTTTCTCCGAAAAAAGTTGGACAGCGGCAGAGTAAGTGCTCCACCGTCCCGGTTTCCTCCTCGTCCTGACAAAGCCTGCAGTATTCAGTGTTGTCGCCCCCGCCACCTGGAAGTCATTGCCCTTATGATACAGTGACCTGTGATTAAACCTACCACGAGCTTTAGGCCAAATTTCGTTATGAAGATGAGCGACCTTGATCTCCGTTCTGAAATCACCGGCCATATTGTCTTTGAGGCATTACATCCCCTTCCAATTAACGCTAATGTTGAAGGTGGCGTCATGTCGCAAGTTTATTTTATTAATTATCTAGCAGTAAGTCATTCTGTTTATGTTTTAAGATATGTTTCAATAAAAAATGGCTCTAGCCAAAAAACCTTCCAATTAACAAGTTCTGTTTAAATCTTCCAATGTAATGGTTGTTTAGTACTTGAAAGAAGTGACATAAGAGTCTATCCCTGTTGGGTAAATGGATATCTAGTGGTTCGAAGCTTTGCCTAGGTGATATGTAGTTACTGACCATAGCCCGGCCTCTTAGGTTCTCCACATACTTAAGAAAAGCAGACTTGACAACTAAGCCAAGGAGGCTATAAAGAGAGGAATTATGTTACTATGAATTACGAATTGTGTCTTAAAGAAGTTTTAAAAGCCAGCAGCGCTTATTTTCTTGCTTCGCAAATGCCAAATTTTTAAGAAATGTCAGACCCACTCGGGAATTTTTACGTCGTTGCTTTTTATAATTTGGCTTCAACGAAGCAAGGAATTTGTTGTCTGTTTCACCCTTAACTCATGTAAGTATTTTTGAGACCTAACAATGCACTGAGAACATGTTATTACTCTTTGAGAAAACAAGGTGGAGAGACAGACCCATTATGTTGTGTATCACGATAATTCGATTAATTTATCGATAATTCGATACATCTTACCCCTTTTGGGAAAAGTTATTCGCCGAATATACAGAAGATACACCATCAGATATTAAAGTTTGTAAAATTCATCAAAATTGCAATAAAAACAATAAACAAAACAACTTTCTGCTGCGCGTTCATATCGTCGCAGTGATTGCAATACAGTAAACAAATAAAAAACCGGCAAAATTTACTCCCACAGACGTTTTCGCAGATTATTGATTATGACGCTGGTGGGGTTGGCGGCCAGAAAACTCTCCATTAAAAAGAGGTAAGCTATTTCAAAACATGTGTTAAAAATCTACTGAATGTTTCTTCGTTGCAGAAATGCCAAGCTAGCGGCAGCTTTTCCAAATGGTGTACGCTGTCAGAAGTGTTTGGAATTTGGCCATTGGTCCTATGAGTGCAAGGAGAAGCGTAAATATGTACATCGCACATCACGGACGAAGCAATTGAAAAAGAAATTGCATGAAAAGACGACAGAGATCCAGGCCAATGGTGTAGTCTCAACAACGGAAGTAACCGTCACGAAAAAGAAAGATAAACAAAAACGGCGTAAATCTTCTTCAAGTTCATCCAGTGATTCGTCCTCTAGTTCGGACAGTGAATCTGATTCTTCGTCAGATGATGAAGATGGCACTGGCTCATCAAGTTCAGGCTCATCCAGCGATTCCAGTTCTTCATCGGACAGTGAATCTGATAGTTCAAGTGACACTGGTGCATCGGGTAGTTCCAGTTCGGATAGTTCATCAAGCAGTTCAGAGGATGAAGACGATGAGACAGCGCCACCAAAGAATAAAAAATCTAAACATTCATCTGACAGTTCTTCTGAGGCATCAGACGCTGATGCTGCTGATCTTTAGGGAAATCTGCTCGAGAGAGAAGAAGGACTAGAAAGGATGAATTTAGATTGGTAATGATGAGTATACATAGTTTAGAGAACAAGGGGAGCTTGGTAACAATGGAAACTATTCCAGAAACAAATATTTGTCGAAGTAAAAATGGAATCTATACGATTTTTAATGGATCCCACATACCAACCAACAAGCTCTCTTTGCAATTTAGAAGCTTTAGTAGTTTAGGTTATTTTGTAAACATTATTCTTTATCAATTAGATTTTCTTTTAACAAAAAACAAAAAAATGAAAATGTCTAGATATGAGAAGTAATATTTTCATCATCACAAATATTAATTTAAGACCTCCACACAAAACCTCAAATCCAATAGTAACCATATTCAATGAAATAATTAGGGAATTAAGAAATAAAACATATATTTGTACATGCAACCATGAAAGCACATGAAAATAGTACCTTATACATAGAATCAATAAATCAATCAATCGGTTTCGCGGCCCGCAATTCCACACACTCTCCCGGTTCTAATTTTTATTTTAAAGAGAAATGGCAAAACATTGGGACAGTTTTGAATTAAGTTTTCAAACTAAGAACAAATTGAAAAATTACTAAAATACTAATTTAATTTATTATGTACTGGAATTCTGTTGTTATTTTATAGGATTATGTATGAATTTAGTCTATATGAACTTGTATTTAGAATTACTATATGAATTATTGTTAAATTATCCTCAATTTTAGAAACATCTATCACACCACACCACAATATGCAAAAACCAAATTTCTTATTTGGCATTTTGTTATATTCTAATTTAATAAAATGTATTTTAATTAAATAAATTTCGGCTTGTATTTATTAAGTATTTAAAAAGGGGTTATATCTACTTGTAATACAAAACGTTGACATGTTTATGATCGCTTACTTTAAGTTGTATTTTTTAATGGAAAATGTCAGTCATTGAAAGTGATAATATTTTCAGTGGAAGTAATAATATGTGATCATAATACCCTACACCACATATTGGTAAGGATATTGTGTCTTTGTTCATTTATTTGTAACATGGAGAAGGAAGCAAGATAGACCCATAGTTACCTTTGACGATCTTTATAGAATCACTTTCTGAGTCGATTTATGCATGTCAGTCCGTCCATCTGTCTATGTATTTCTGTAAACAAAATGTAGGTCGCATTTATTATCCGATTGAGATGAAATTTTCCAAACAATATTTGTTTGGCCCAAGGACGAACGCTATTGAAATTGCTAATAATCGGTTCAAAATTAGATATAGATCCCATACATATATCTTCAACCGATTTCGGGTTAATTGTGCATCAAATGGTCAATATTAGCCCAAATGACCTGCATTTTAGTATATTCGATCGAATTCAGTCTAGAAGCAAGTACATAAAATTTGTTTCGGATATAGCTATAGCTCTAATATAAATGTTTCATCCGATTTTAAGTCCCTTACATCCATAACATGCACTTCACAACATTTATATTTGCTACCAGATATCTTATATACCTCGGAAATGCCTTTGCAAATTTTATCGAGATCGGCTCGGTTTTGGATATACCTCTCATACATATCCTTCATCCGATTTCAGGTTTAGGTTTAGAATTAATAAATATAAATTCTTTGTTACGGAAGCTCTACTAAATATGCATGGTGGTGTAGGGTATCATATAGTCGGCCCCGCCCTATTTTTGACTTTTCCTTACTGGTATATTATATATAAGCCGAGAAAGTAAAAAAAAAAAATAAAATCATATGGTATATCATAGCCCTACCTTCATTTTGTTGCAAAAAAAGCAACTACAAATATTCAAAACATTTTATTCGCCGGAATGATTGTTATTGAAACAATGCCACATAAGATATTGATTGATTCTTGAAACAGCCACATCAAGGAAATTATGGACGAAGGTATTACCCAGTCAAAAATCGCATCAGTCAAAAAGGGGTTAAATTTTGACACCAGTAACTACTTACAAAATAGCTTCTTACCTTAACATGGATATGTCAAAGAATGTGAGTACGAGTCCATTTCAGTCTTAACCAGTAAGGAAAGTTCAAAAGTCGGGCGGGGCCGACTATATGATACCCTACACCACTATGCATATTTAGTAGAGCTCTCGTAAAAAGGTTTATACAGGGCATTTCAGAGCTCTATGAGATATTTGGTACAAAATCAAAATCTATCTAATTCTATCGTGCATTTTACGAACTATAGCTATCTCTGAACCGGGTTTCTCCAAATTTTACGTATTAGCTTCTAGACTGGTGATTTGGGCTGATATTGACCATTTAGTGCACATTTAACCCGAAATCGGATGAAGATATATATGAGAGCTATATCCAAATCTGAACCGATTTCGATAAAATTTAAAACAGCTATTCCTATGCTCCATCTAATACCTGGTACCAAATATCACGGTTGTAGAGTGAATATTACGAATATATGGGACTAAAACTCTAAATCGGATGAAACATATATATGGTTGCTATATCTATATCTGAACCGATTTTCACTAAATTTGATATACTTTCTTCTAGGCTGAATTTGGTCCGATGTACTAAAATTCAGTCCATTTGGACTTATATTGGCCATTTGGTGCACAATTAACGCGAAATCGGATGAAGATATATATGGGAGCTATATCCAAATCTGAACCGATTTCGATAAAATTACAAACAGCTATTTCTGGGCTGTATCTTATATCTGGTACCAAATATCATTCTTGTGGAGTGCATATTACGAATGTGAGAGGCTTAAACACCAAATCGGATGAAAGATATATATGGGAGCTATAGCTATATCTGAACCGATTTTCACTGAATTTGATATACTTGCTTCTAGGCCGAACTCGGTTGGGTGTGCCAAAATTCAGGTAATTTGGACTGATAGTGGACATTTGGTGCACATTTAACCCGAAATCGGATGAAGATATATATGGGAGCTATAGCTGTTTCTGAACCGATTTTCTTCAAATTTGTTGTATTTGCTTTAAGGCTAATCTTGGTCACATTTGCCAAAATTCGGGCCATTTGGGCTGATATTGGCCATTTGGTGGTCAATTAACCCGAAATCGGATGAAGATATATATGGGAGCTATATCCAAATCTGAACCGATTTCGATAAAATTTAAAACAGCTATTTTTGTGCTCCATCTAATACCTGGTACCAAATATCACGGTTGTGGAGTGCATAGTAGGAATGTGAGGGACTTAAAAATCAAATCGGATGAAAGATATATATGGGAGCTATAGCTATATCTGAACCGATTTCCTCCAAATTTGATATACTTGCTTCTAGGCCGAACTCGGTTGGGTGTGCCAAAATTCAGGTAATTTGGACTGATAGTGGATATTTGGTGCACATTTAACCCGAAATCGGATGAAGATATATATGGGAGCTATATCTAAATTTGATCCGATTCTCACCAATTTCAATAGGGTTCGTCCTTGGGCCAAAAAAATATTGTTTGGAAAATTTCATCTCAATCGGATAATAAATGCGACCTGCATTTTGTTCACAAGAATACATGGACAGACGGACGGACGGACGGACAGACGGACTGACATGCATAAATCGACTCAGAAAGTGATTCTATGAAGGTTCTCAAAAGTAACTATGGGTCTATCTCGTTTCCTTCTCCATGTTACAAACAAATGCACAAAGACATAATACCCTTACCACTATGTGGTGTAGGGTATAAAAACATGATATAATTACTTAAAATCGTTTTCTTGGACTGACACAAGACCGGTTGGTGAAGTATATTCAAGAAAATTACATTCGTGCTAAGAAAAAATAAAGATTTTGTCAGTGCTCCAGACACGTATACAGGGTGAGATGAAAAAATTGCAACAAAGTCAAACGCCATAGATTTTACATTTTTTTCATTCTATTGAATGAAAGCAAAAAATGTCGGATATAGCATTAAATTTTAGAATAACTTTAAGATTTGTTCGAATTGGTCACCTTTGACACTAATTATGACCTTCAAACGACCAATGAAACCACACGTCACACGCTGCCCGAATGTTGCTCTGCGTTATTTTGGACCATTCCCGGAGAAGCGCTTGCTTGATGTGATCGACACTTTGATCGACATTTTTTAGTGCCAACCTTGCTTTCCAAAATTTCCAGACACAATAGTACATCGGATTGGTATTCGGAGATTTTGGTGGCCATTGTGCGCTGAAAATGAAGCGAGGAACCTCTATTTGTAACCATGCTTGGGTGGCGAGTGCTGAGTGCGGTGGTGCTGAGTCCTGTTGGAATGTCCAAGGTCTGCGGCCAAAATGTTTGCGTGCCCAAGACTTTTATACACCCTCCAGAATATTTTGGTGATAATATTTGGCATTTATTCTGATGCCACGGTCGATTAATGCGAGCGGAGAGCGACCATCGTCTGTTATGGCGGCCCATACCATCACCATGGCCGGCGCTTGAATTCTGGTAGCCAATCGAAAGTGTACATTTTCAGCTGACCTCTTTGGCAAGTAAACACTATAATTTTGTTTGTTTACAAACTGCAGGACAACGAGTGTTTTCTCATCGGAGAAAACCAAATTCGGCAGTTCACCACTTTCGGCCAAGCGAAACAACTCTTTACCTCTTTTCAGTCTATTTCTTTTCTGTTGCGGTGTAAGTTCTTGCACTTCATGGAATTTCAATTGCTTTACCCCGGGGCTCATTTTTCACGAGCCATTTTTCTGCCACTGTGACGCGGGTTTCGATCAAGTCGCTTCTTTACTTTTCGAACCATTTCTGCTGATGTTGCTGTTTTCTTCTGTCCACTTCCTTGACGTCGGGCTACGCTACCAGTATTACCGTGACGAGCGATGGTACAAGACACAAAAGATTTATTCACATTTAAATGCAGGAGTGCTCTAACGATAGCCACATGTGATTTTTCAGCCAAATATATAGAAATCACATTATTACGCTAGAATCCCATCACGAATAACTTATTTTCTGGAAAATTCTCACCAAAATGCTTTTGTACGCTTGTAAACAATATAATGAGCTGTCACTGGAATAATTTTAACAGCTGTCGGACGAGTGGTTTAGAAATGACAGCAGCCTGAATTTGGTTACAATTTTTTCATCTCACTCTGTATTCGCTCTTTTGATGATTCACCGGAATTGTTTCAAATTTTGTATTTGAAGTTTATTACGGTACTTCCCCATATTCGGTATTTTGATGATATTAGCGACTATGGTACAATAAGGAGGTAGAACAGCTCAGCAAAACTACAGAAATGCAGCCCTGAGTCTGAGTATGTTATTAACCGGAATTATCTATAATTTCGTATTTGAAGTTCGGAATCGGTACTACAGCCTATAAAAAAATTGCAGGTGCACAAATTTCCCCCTATATAACGGTTTTTATTTAAGCTATATTTTTCGATGGAATGTTTTTATACCCTCCACCATTTTATGCAGGGTATATTAACTTGGTCATTCCGCTTGTAACTCCTCGAAATATCCATAATAGACCCTACAAAGTATATATATTCTGGATCAGCGTAAAATTCTAAGACGATCTAGCGATGTCCGTCTGTCTGTCCGTCTGCCTGCCTGTGCGTCTGTTATAATCACGCTATCTTTCAAACGAATTGACATAATTTTTTTGTATACATGCATAGTTTACCAGTAGGCAGGTTAAGTTTATAAATGAACCATGTCGGTCCACGTTTTCGTATAGCCCCCATTTTCATGATTTTAGCGACGTTATTTTCCGGAATTATTTCAAATTTCGTATTTGAAGTTCGTAATAGATACTACAGCCTATGACAAAAATTTTTGTATGCAGGTCCAAGTCTTCGTATAGCCTCCTTATAACGGTACCTTCCGATATTTGGTATTTTGATGATTTCAGCAAAAATATTCACCGGAATCGTTTTAAATTTCGCACTGAAGATCCTAATAGGTACTACAACCTATGGCAAAAAATGTTGTATGCATGTCCAGATCTTCGTATAGCCCTCATATAAGGGTATCTACCGATATTCGATATTTTCATGATTTTAGCGATATTATTTATCGCAATTATTTCATATTTCGTATTTAAAGTTAGTAATGGGTATTACAGTCTGTAACCAAAAATTTTGTATGCAGGTCTACGACTTTGTATAGCCCCATATAACGGTACCTCCCGATAGTCGGTATTTTAACGATTTCAGCAACTTTATTCACCGGAATCGTTCCAAATATCGAATTGAAAGATCTTAATGGGTACTACAACTTATGGCAAAAAAAAATCGTATGCAGGTCTACGTCTTCGTATAGTCCCATATAACGGTTTTCATTTAGGTGGTAGTTTTCGATTTTTTTTTTACATTTTTCAAGTTTCTTCGAAATTAAAAGTTCGGCCCTGCAGAACATTTTGGAGGTTATTAAAAGTTCAGACCGGCCGAAGTCCAGTCGGTTTAAAATGACTGGTCTAAACGGGATATTACTTTTCAAAATGGCAAAAGTTATAAAAATGGAAAATTCGTCTACGGAAAAAGTTGAAAAAGTTTAAGATTTTAGGAGATAAAGAAAAGTGTAATTTTAATTATTGTTCGTTCTTATTTTCGAAATACAAAAAAGGATCTGGGTACATAGCTTTTGACAATGAGATGTTGTCAAAGGTAAAATTTTGAAGAAAACAAGTTGCAAGTAATTGATAATTCTTAATTTATTTATTTATTTATTGCCAGCAATTGCTGTTATACGGTACCTTGGTAAAAGCAATGCCGTTGTAATATTTATAGATTTTCATTTAGGTTTCTTAATTTTTTTTGGGAATTTCAAAAAATCAATTTATAAACATTTTAAAATTGTTGCCACTTTGTACTTTATGTTTTCACTTTTGATAAATTTATATGTGCCTGTTTCTGAATTGAGTGTGTGTGATGAGGTTTTCCACTATCATTAATTAATGTATTTTTTGTCTTTTCTCAATTTTCAATGCCGGTACACGCTTAAGGGTCAATACAAGGGTATCACAATACTCCAGATCTTCGAACTTGAAGTCCGTTGAAAATTTAAAATTTCTCAACAATTTCGCCAGTGTTATCTTCGTCGACATCAGACCATATTTTCGGCCTGCGAAAAATAAAAAAGCAAAATATGAGTCCTTAAAAATTTTAATTTGCCACTTAATATTGCCTTACCTATACAACTTCGAACACCTTTTGTAAATGGTATGAATGCAAACGGATGTTTGTCTTCAATGTTGCTGGGTAGAAAATGATCCGGATTAAACTTATCAGCATAGGGGCCCCAAATATCTTTTCGCCGGTGCAGGGCAAACATATTGATGACACATTGCACACCAGCCGGCAAAACGAGGCCATTGGACAGCTGTAAATCTTGGGTATTTTCACGAGCCACTAAAGGTCCCGGTGCCATTAGACGCATCGTTTCATTGACAATCAAATCAAGGTAGGCCATGTCTTGAATGTTGGCATAGGTCACATCGAAAGCCCCGCCTTCCGGAAACATGGCCAATAGCTCCTCGTATGCTCTTTCTTGGTATTCGGGAAACATTGCTAGTAACATGAGTCCATATCCAATGGTATTGGTGGTTGTTTCCAAGGCCTAGACGAAAATATGAAAACAATGAAATAAGAGTTGAAGAACTGGAATATGAATGTGTGAAATTTAATAATTACCCCAACAACCATGGTATTCGATTCATCTTCCACTTCTTGCATTGAAAAAATATCCTTTCTCAAAAGTTCAACGGCTTGATCGATGAAGATCTTGCTTCCACTGTTGGCTTTGTCTAATTTCTTTTTTATAAGCTGAAATATTAATGATATATTATTTTATTGAGCATCTGTGTATGTAATTGATCTTTAACTTTAGTACGAAGTTAATGTTTAGTAAGAAGGTACGTGCATAGAGAGGGGTAAAAAATACAAAAATATTCCATCATGTATCTCCTATTTTTGGGGGTTTTGGAATTTTGGTGGAAGCAATAAAATTGGCATCATTTCTATAAACTCCATTATAGTATTAAGGGTATATTAAGTTTGTCATTCCGTTTGTAAAACCTCGAAGTATAACCTTTTGGGTCTAAAGGTTATACAGGGTGAAATGAAAAATGGCTGTCGTTAGAGCACTCCTCCTTAACCTGTAAGTCACAGTCCATAGGTTTTTAAAAGTTTGCTAGAAGCAATACAATTGCAATCAGTTTTCTACCCTCCACCTTTAAGTTTTCATTTCGTTTGTAATATCTCGAAGTATACATTTTAGACCACAAAAGGGTATATATTTTTGATCAGCATATAGAATATTATCGCGATTTTGCCCGTCTGTCAGGGGATATCGCTCTGGCTGGGGATATCGCTCTGTCTGGGGAAATCACTCTAGCTTCCGAACCAAATAAAGTAGGTTGATACAATTTTACTCAGATGTGTTTTAGGTCAGCAGGGCTTTTGGTATTGCAAATGGACTATATTGAACCACGTTTTGGTAAAGGGTTCATATAACTCTACCAACAGATTGATGTTTTTTTGGGTGTCTTAGTCACATTTTTAAACCGATGTAGCTGTAAATTGGTAGTATGTGTTGTCAGGATGTAAAAAACATGATTGCAAAGAACTTTACAAATAGGTCCATGATTTGGTATAGACCCCTTACAACTTTGCCTCCAGATATTCGGTATTTTGATAATTTGTGTTTCAAATTTGGAATTTGAAGTCCCCAATGGGTACTACATCCTACGACAGAAAATTTCTCATATAGGCCAACGTCTTCGTATAGCCCCCCTATATTCCGAATTTTGATGATTTTAGCGACATCATTCACCGGAATTGTTTCAAATTTCGTATTTGAGGTTCCTAATGGGTACTGCAACCTATGACAAAAAAATACTTATACAGGCCCACGTCTTCATATAACGGTACCTCCCCATATTCGGTATTTTAATCGGAATTGTTTCAAATTTCGTATTTGAAGTTCCTAATAGGTGCTACAGGCTGTGACAGAAAATTTCCAATGCAGGTCCAGGTCTTCGTTAAGCCCCCATATAAAGGTACCTCCCCATATTCGGCATTTTAATGATGTTAGCGACATTATTCACCGGAATTCTTTCAAATTCGAAATTTGGAGTTCGCAGTGGGCACTGCTTCCTATACAGAAAATTGTCCATACAAAATTCAAACCTTCGTGTAGCCTCCATATTACGTTACCTTCCAATATTCGGTATTTTCATGATTTTAGCTACACTTTTCAACTACAAACCTGGTGTTTGGAGTTTGTAATAGGCACCTCCCCCTTTGGCATATAATTAAAGTTCCACGTTTTTATATGGCTCCATATAACCGTAACACTTTATATTAGATTTTTTTCTTTACATTTTGCAAGTTCCTTCCATATGTTAAAAGTTCGGGCTGGCCTAGCTATTAGCTAAACTTAGCTACTTTTTATACCCTACACCACATAGTGGTAAGGGTATTATGTCTTTGTGCATTTGTTTGTAACATGGAGAAGGAAGCGAGTTAGACCCATAGTTATTTTTGAGGATCTTCATAGAATCACTTTCTGAGTCGATTTATGCATGTCAATCCATGTGTCCGTCCGTCCGTCGTCTGTCCATGTGTTTTTGTGAACAAAGTGCAGGTCGCATTGATTATCCGATTGAGATGAAAATTTCCAAACAATATTTGTTTGGCTCAAGGACGAACCCTATTGAAATTGATGATAATCGGTAAAAATTTAGATATAGCTCCCATATATATCTTCGTCCGCTTTGCCTTTTATTGTGCACCAAACGTGTAATATTGGCCCGAATAGTATGGAATTACATACAGCCAAATTACTTCTGAAAATAAGTATGCCAAATTTGATCGAAATCGGTTCAGATATAGCCATAGCTCCCATATATTCTGTTCATCCGATTTGTTATATTTGTTACCCACAGCCGTAATATGCATCCCGTAACAACGATATCCAGGAAAATATATCAAAAACAGCTCAGAAATATCTTTGCCAAATTATATCGAGATTGGTTCAGATTTGAATATAGCTCCCATATATATCTTTATCTGATTTCAAATTAATTTTGCACCAAATGGGCAATACTAGCCCGATTTTAAAAGATACAAATGCATCGGCATATTTAGTCCTTTGAATTTTAAATTATAATTATAATCATAGCGTGTATGATGGAATTCTCCCATAAAACTTTTAATTGTTATGTGGAGCTCAACTAAATTAGCAAAGTGGTGTAGGGTATCATAAAATCGGCCCCGCCCGACTTTAGGACTTTCTTTATTAATCCTTCTCGAAGCAATGTTATTTGGTATTAAGGATAAAAATACCCCCGTCAGTAAAAATCGATTCAGAATTGCATACGCCTCCCATATAATAGTTCCCTCTGAAACCAAACTATAACTGCTCTAAAGCCAAATGTTGATAGGTGGTATGATCTATTTCAAATAAAATCTTCTGTTACGGGAGCTCTACTTAATACGCATATTGGTGTAGGGTATCATATATACGGTCGCGCCTGACTTTTGACTTTTCCTTACTGGTTTTTACTCGCTTTTACCTATAAATTACAGCAACAACAGCCTTCATGACATTTCCCACTTACATTTTGAATTATTTTTTCATTATCCTTTCTGTGTGTGTTAAATGGCTCATATATACCATACAGCTTGCGGATCAGATCATGGGCCAACCATGGTGAGAACACCATTTGGATTAAACCTTTGGCCAGACTAAAAAGGGAATGAGAGAAAAATAAGTAAAACATTATTAAGATGCCATTAACATAATCATATTCACTTACACATTGAAATTAGCCTTTAGACGAGCACTGATGGCGCGTTCACTGGCCTCAATACCCATTGTTGTCCCTTAAATGCCAAAAACAAAAAAAAAAATGCCATTTAAATCAATTGTTCGCTAATGCCACTAAATAACACAGTACTTACTCAAACCTGTGGTCAATGTAAACTCCTGCAACACACTTATAACATCCGGACATTCGTCCATTTGTTGAAATTGTTCTAGAAGTTTATTTACCTCTTCATTGAAGACCGGTATAAAACTAAGCAGTATTTTATGTGAAAATGTGGGATTTAGGTGTTTCCGATGAACGCTCCATTCGGGATCTGTAAGTCAATGAAAGTATGTAGCGGAAAGTTCATTAAATGTTAGGTAAATTCACATACTTCCCGAAGACAATAGACCAACTCCAATTGCCTTTTTGAATGGCCTGTAGACTTTGCTTTTATTTATACAATGTGGCGACATTAGAATGTCCCGTATAATATCCGGGTCAGTGACAATAAATAGCGGATAGTGAAGCAACCATGTGAGCGCCACGGAACCATATTTTACGTTGATATCGTTCATTACTTCAAGAGGGTCTGTAAAATGAAAAAAAAAAAAAAATAAGTGTGGAATTGTATTAAAAATTTGAAATTAAAGATGTGTTTTTTTTACCCTCCACCAAATTGAATACTAATAATTCTATAGTATATACCCAAATCAGAGATGGGGAATATCGCAGCGGCTAATTGCTTTGGAGGTCAATATGAGTTATTCCAAGAGTCACTTTAAAATATGTTATGTTTCCTGTTGGGCGACACTAGAGGCGACCTTCCAGTTAGCTAGCGGCCTCGGGTCTATGGTTCTTAACCCGATTTCTTCTGTAGACCATCCAGGTCAAATTTCTCACTCAATGGTGGTGTGTATTAAAAGTTCGGCCAGGCCCAACTTAACGTTTTTTACTTGTTTAGAGTACAGCGTGATAAAAAAAACTACAACAAAATCATACGTAATAATTTTTACATTTTTTGTCGGAAATAGCATCGAATTTTAGAATAAGTTTAGATTTATTCGATTTGGTCACCTTTTTCACGAATTATGGCCTTCAAATGGCCAATGAAACCACACGTCGCACGCTGCCCGAATATTGCTCTGCGGTATTTTTGCCCATTCCCTGCGAAGCGCTTGATCAACACTTTGGTATTTTTTAGTGCCAACCTTGCTTTCCAAAATATTCCAGACACAATAGTCCAACGGATTGGTAACCGAAGATTTTGGTGGCCATTGTGGGCTGGAAATGAAGCGAGGAACCTCATTTTGTAACCATTCTTGGGTGGCGCGTGCTGAGTGCAATGGTGCTGAGTCCTGTTGGAATGTCCAAGGTCTGCGGCCAAATGTTTGAGTGCCCAAGACTTTAATACACACTCCAGAATATTTTCGTGATAATATTTGGCATTTCTTCTGATGCCACGAGCGAAGAACGACCATCGGCTGTTATGGCGGCCAACACCATCACCATGGCCGGCTCTTGAGTTCTGGTGGCCAACCAAAGGTGCACATTTTCAGCTGACCTCTTTGACAAGTAAACACGATTATTTTGTTTGTTAACAAACTGCTGGACTTTTTGGAATTTTAGTGGTTTTATCCCGAGCTGATTTTTCAATATGTGCCGAATGTAATATTGCGATATGTTCAGCTCACGAGTCATTTTTCGGCCACTGCAACGCGGGTTTCGATTAAATCGCTTCTTCACTTTTCAAACTATTTCTGCTGATGTTTTCACTTCCTTGACGTCGGGCTACGCTACCATCACACACACACGCTTGAATTCTATCACGAATAACTTTTTTTCTGGAAAATTCTCACCAAAATGATTTTGTACGCTTGTGAAAAATATAATGAAGTGTCACTGGAATAATTTTAACAGCTGTCGGACGAGTGGCTTAGAAATGACAGCTGTCTGAAGTTGTTTGCAGCTTTTTCATCTCACCTTGTATATTCTTGATCAGCGTAAAATTCAAAATCTATTTAACGATGTCGGTCTGTCCGTGGAAATTACCCTAGCTTCCGAACGAAATGAAGTAGGTTAATAAAATTTTACTGAAATGTATATTATGTCTGCAGAACTTTTGGTATTGACAATGGGCCATGTAGGTCCCCGTTTTGGTATAATGTGTAGTATCTGATACTGAAAATTGTCCGTGCAGATCCACGCCTTCGTATAGCCCCCATATAACGGCCCCCATATAATAATAATAATAATAATAATAATAATAATAATAATAATAATAATAATAATAATAATAATAATAATAATAATAATAATAATAATAATAATAATAATAATAATAATAATAATAATAATAATAATAATAATAATAATAATAATAATAATAATAATATAATAATAATAATAATAATAATAATAATAATAATAATAATAAAATAATAATAATAATAATAATAATAATAATAATAATAATAATAATAATAATAATAATAATAATAATAATAATAATAATAATAATAATAATAATAATAATAATAATAATAATAATAATAATAATAATAATAATAATAATAATAATAATAATAATACTAATAATAATAATAATAATATAATACTAATAATAATAATAATAATAATCATAATAATAATAATATAATAATAATAATAATAATAATAATAATAATAATAATAATAATAATAATATAATAATAATAATAATAATAATAATAATAATAATAATAATAATAATAATAATAATAATAATAATAATAATAATAATATAATAATAATAATAATAATAATAATAATAATAATAATAATAATAATAATAATAATAATAATAATAATAATAATAATAATAATAATAATAATAATAATAATAATACTAATAATAATAATAATAATAATATAATAATAATAATAATAATAATAATAATAATAATAATAATAATAATAATAATAATAATAATAATAATACTAATATAATAATAATAATAATAATAATAATAATAATAATAATACTAATAATAATAATAATAATAATCATAATACTAATAATAATAATAATAATAATAATAATAATACTAATAATAATAATAATAATAATAATAATTAATAATAATAATAATAATAATAATAATAATAATAATAATAATAATAATAATAATAATAATAATAATAATAATAATACTAATAATATCATAATAATAATAATAATAATAATAATAATAATAATAATACTAATAATAATAATAATAATAATAATAATAATAATAATAATAATATAATAATAATAATTGTCTTTTTCAATCAGTTGATTTCTTAAACAGCTGCTTGAAGAAGATGACGAGAATTGTTAAACATTTTTGGGATAACCATGGTAGAAGAATAAAGGTAGATGCATGGACACAACTGCGGAACTGTCAAACATATTTTGGAATTGAAAATGTTGAATGAAAAATTATTTAAATTTGTAAAAATGGTTGAAAACGCGAATTATTATAAACTCAGAATAACGTCGAATAAAAAAAAACATATAAAAATCTACTTATATTTAAAAGAACATTTTAATTTTTTTTGTCATATCAATGTTCCCAAGCGTTGAATCATCTACCTGGTTTCTTCTACCATGTGGATAACCGAAGATACTACCATGGTCAGACGTACGGACGAACACATGCATTTTCGACACAGAACGTTACCTTATAAAAAATGATCAAAAACAGCAATGAGTCCAGCTCGTCTGCTATAGCATGTGCCAAACAAGCACATAACCAGCATCATTTATTTACTAACATTTAAAATCACTTCAAGTTAATTGTCTATTAACATCAATCCCAACACGTTTATTTAATGTCCGAATGACTAACATGCTTTTCTTTTAATTGCAATTAACATTATTTCTTGAGTTTCATAATGTAATTGTGTTTTGCCGCAGTTGCATACAACTGTCTATAATTATAGTGTTAATTATTCTAACTAGCAAATGTCTAAATTAACGTGAAAAAATAAACACACGGGATTCTAATTATGGATTTAGATTCTTTAAAACGATTTAATGGGTTCGAAAATTGTGGTAATTATACGCTACTGTACCACACTGTTTGTTACAAGGTGTTATGTCTTGATTATGTACCAAATGCGTAATAATAGCCCAAACAGTAGTAATTAAGGCTAACAGCAAGTCTGTCATATTTTATGAATATCGGTTTAAAATATATCTCCCATGTATAATACAGGGTGAGATGAACTGAACTGCAACCAATTTCAGACAGCTGTCATTTCTAAGCCACTGGTCCGACAGCAAAAATTGAACCAGTAAAGAAAGTCCTAAAGTCGGGCGGGGCCGACTTTATGATACCCTACAACACTTTGCTAATTTAGTAGAGCTCCATATAACAATTAAAAGTTTTTATGGGAGAATTCCATCATACACGCTATGATTATAATTATTATTTAAAGTTCAAAGGACTAAGGCTGGAAATACATAAAGCGCTTATCTGGCTGGCTTAAGTCATCGTCTGGCTTCTTCGTAGATGAACAAAGGAGGTTTAGGTTGATTTAGTTCGATTTTGGCCTTAGGGTCCTTTGTTCATTTCCGAAGAAGCCAGCCGCTTTATGTATTTCCACCCTAAATATGCCGAAGCATTTGAATCTTTTAAATTCGGACTTGTATTGCGCATTTGGTCCAAAATTAATTTGAAATCAGATAAAGATATATATGGGAGCTATATCCAAATCTGAAATCTGAAAATCGATAAAATTAAGCAAAGATATTTCTGAGTTGTATTTGATATATTTCCCTGAATATCGTTGTTACGGAGTGCATATTACGGCTGTGGGTAACATATACAACATATCGGATGAACAATATATATGGGAGCTATAGCTATATCTGAACCGATCTTCACCAAATTTGACATACTAGCTTCTAGATTCAATTCGGTCGCATGTGCCAAATTCCATCCCATTTGGACAAATATTAGACGTTTGGTGTACAATAAAAAGTAAATCGGACGAAGTTATATATGGGAGCTATATCCAAATCTGAACCGATCTCGATACAATTTGACAAAGGAATTTCTGAGATGAATTCGGTATATTTTCCCGAATATTGTTGTTACAGAGTGCATATTACGGCTGCGGAGGATAAAAATAACAAATCGGATGAACAATATATATGGGAGCTATAGCTATATCTGAACCGATTTCGATCAAATTTGGCACACTTATTTTCAGGCCTAATTTGGTTGTTTGTTCCAAATTCCATACTATTCGGGCTGATATTACATGTTTGGTGCACAATAAAAGGCAAATCGGACGAAGATATATATGGGAGCTATGTCTAAATTTTGACCGATTTTGACCAATTTCAATAGGGTTCGTCCTTGGGCCAAATAATAAATGCGACCTGCATTTTGTTCACAAGAATCCATGGACAGTCGGACGGACATGCATAAATCTACTCAGAATGTGATTCTATCCAGATCATCAAAAGGAACTATGGGTCTATCTCGTTTCCTTTTGTCTGTTACAAACAAATGCACAAAGACATAATACCCAGACCACCTTGTGGTGTAGGGTATAAATATTGGCATGTTCCCATGTTACAAGACAATCGAATATTTGTTTCCAATTTTATGCGATATCATAAATTTCATATTCATCTCAGGTTTCTGGTTGAGAGAAGTATTTAGACATGGGAAGTTATAAAGAATCGCTGATAAGTTATGACACATAAAAGTATTGAATATTTTGTCCCTTCGTGGGTGAGGTACCAGAAGGGGTTCGCAGATATATAGCATCTTCACAACAAATCTTGTGTTAGCAAAAATGTTTGTATGTGTGAAATTTAAAGAGAGTGGGATGCTTATTTCGCTTTCTTTGATCGTTATGTTTTTCAAGATGTTGAACCTTATGTGGGAGAGGTACTTGATGGAATGGACCGATATTGTCCATTTTCACACCTGACCTAGCATTGATGCAAATACTAGAATTTGCAAAGCTGGAACAAAATCCAAATATCCCTTCTCCTTCTGTGCAAAAATATATTTTTTGAAAATTTCGACCTTTTGTGGGGGAGGTACCAGAAGGAGTGGACCGATTTTGCCCATCTTAACACCAGACCTTGGGTTTATACAAATATTTGGATATGTGAAATTTGAAGACAATCGTACTCTTACATCACATTTAATGAGAGTTGTAATTATTCAAAATTTTGACCATTTGTGGAGGAGGTACTTGATGGAGTGGACCGATATTGTCCATTTTCACACCTGATCTAGCACGGACGCAAATACAAGGGTTTGCAAAGTTGGATCAAAATCCGAATATCCTTTCTCTTTCTGTGCAAAAAATATATTTTTTGAATATTTCGACTTTTTGTGGGGGTGGTATCAGAAGGAATGGACCGATTTTGACCATCTTAAGACCAGACCTTGGGTTAATATAGATATTGCTATGTGTGAAATTTGAAGACAATCGGACCCTTACATCACATTTTATGAGAGTTGTAATTATTTAAAATTTTGACCATTTGTGGGGGAGGTACTTGATGGAGTGGACCGATATTGTCCATTTTTACACCTGATCTAGCACTGACGCAAATATTAGGATTTGCAAAGTTGGAACAAAATCGGATAATCGTTTCTCTTTCTGTGCAAAAATATATTTTTTGAAAATTTCGACCTTTTGTGGGGGAGGTACCAGAAGGAGTGGACCGATTTTGCCCATCTTAATACCAGATTTTGGGTTAATATAGATATTGGTATGTGTGAAATTTGAAGACAATCGGACCCTTACTACTTGATGGAGTGGACCGATATTGTTCATTTTTACACCTGATCTAGCACTGACGCAAATATTAGAATTTTCAAAGTTGGAGCAAAATCGGAACAAATATATTTTTTGAAAATTTCCACCTTTTGTGGGGGAGGTATCAGAAGGAGTAGACCGATTTTGCCCATCTTAACACCAGATCTTGGGTTAATGTAGATATTAGTATGTGTGAAGTTTGAAGACAATCGGACCCTTACATGACATTTTATGAGAGTTGTAATTATTCAAAATGTTGACTATTTTTGTGGGAGTTACTTGATGGAGTGGACTGATATTGTCCATTTTCACTCCTGATCTAGCACTGATGCAAATATTAGGATTTGCAAAGTGGGGGAAAAATCGGATTATCCTTTATCTATCTGTGCAAAAAATATATATATTTTTTTTAATTTCGACCTTTTGTGGGGGAGGTACCAGAAGGAGTGGACCGATATTGCCCATCTCCCAACTCGATCTAAGTTTGACAAAAATATTACGATATACCCAGTTTGGACCAAATCGGATACTCCCTTCGAGAGTTATCGTGCGCACCAAATGTCCAAAGAGACCCAGGGTCTAAAACCGTTATTTCGACAAGGCACGTTTTGACCGTATCAAATTATATATACCCTCTGTAGCCATATGGCTGAACATGAAATTTTTAATAACCATGAAGCTCATAAAACGCGAAATTGACATCCGATTTCATTCAAACTTATTATATATATATCAACACAAGGTCTGTTGTGAAGTTGATATATATCTGCGAACCTTCTCTGGTACTTCACCCACAAAGGGTCACAATTTTCAATATTTTTATCTGTCATAACTTTTGGACTTTGGACTAACTATTTAGCCTATCCTTTCTATGCACTTGAAAATTATGGCAAAACACTTCAGTATTATTAAAATCATATTTAAGCCAAGTTTCGGTAAGAACTATGACGTTATTATCGAAACAATAACTGTTATTATTTAACTTTACAAGCTTAGTGTTTTAGCCTCTTCGATGAAGAAATTTCCCGAGGTTGGGATGTATTGCATTTAAAAACTTTGAAATCTTTTTCGAAATTATCGTAAATTTTCAACTTTTAAAAAACGCGAATATTATCAACATCGAAGATATTTTCGTAAATCGCGATATTTATATTGTCCTTTGATTATTATACGTAGCATTTCAAAAAAAAAAAAAAAACTCATAATTAAGGTGACCTCGTATTTTATACATCCGTTTTAAAACGTTTAAGCATATCCAGGATTTCGGTTAAAATCTAGCAGTTTAATTATCCTTTTTTATCCTTTTGTTACGTTTTATTTTGTTCACACGCGCTAATAAATTTATTTATTAATTCAATTGCACTCAAAACTACAAACCCTTCTTGATTCCAGTTAGATCCAAGGCTATTCCCAGCAAAGGATATCCAATGCGTCCTGGTAATTTAAACATCAATGCATAATACTTTCGTCGCGTCCACACCCAGTGCAGCCAGAAACACACGATTACACACAAAAACCAGTAGAACATTTCCGAAACAAAAGAATTTAGCGAACACGTCTAAGTAGAACGAAATGATACATACGATTGCTGTGCAGTAAGTTGAAACAACTATTTAAATAGTTCTACCTCCGTACATTAACAAATTAATTAATCTTCATAATTACATATAATTACAATACCCTACAAAACGCATAAATACCTTTGTTTATTTTGCTCGAACGTATGTAACATAACTTGACTCTTGGGTGGTTGTAACTTTAGTGATATTGATGCAAAATTTTTCATACATACAAATGTTTATATTTCATACAAACATTTGTAATATGTGCAATATTTAATCTCTGATTTATACAGGGTGAGATAAAAAACTGCAACAAAGTCAAAAGCCATAATTTTTACTTTTTTTTAATTTTATTGTATGAAAGCGAGCAATGTCGGAAATAGCATTAAATTTTAGAATAAGTTTAGATTTCTTCGAATTGGTCACCTTTGGCACGAAATATGGCGTTCAAACTGCCAATGAAACCGTCACACGCTTCCCGAATGTTGCTCTGCGGTAATTTGGCCCATTCCCGGCGAAGCGCTTGCTTGATGTGATCGACACTTGGGTCTTTTTTAGTGCCAACCTTGCTTTCCAAAATATTCCAGACATAATAGTCCAACGGATTGGTATCCGGAGATTTTGGTGGCCATTGTGTGCTGGAAATGAAGCGAGGAACCTCATCTTGTAACCATTTATGGGTGGCGCGTGCTGAGTGTGATTGTGCTGGGTCCTGTTGAAATGTCCAAGGTATGTGGCCAAAATGTTTGCGTGCCAGAATATTGTCGCGATTATATTTGGCATTTATTCTGATGCCACGGTCGATTAATACGAGCAGAGTGACCACCGGATGTTATGGCGGCTCACACCATCACCATGGTCGGCGCTTGAGTTCTGGTGGCCATTTTCAGCTGACCCCTTTGGCAAGTAAACATGATTATTTTTTTTTGTTTAAAAACTGCTGGAAGAAGATTATTTTCTCATCGGAGCTCCTCCCAAGCTCATTTTCCAATATTTTTCGAATGGAATATTGCGATATGTTCAACTCACGAGCCATTTTTCGGCCACTGCGACGCGGGTTTCAATCAAGTGGCTTCTTTACTTTTCGAACCATTTCTGCTGATGTTGCTGTTTTCTTTCGTCCACTTCCTTGACGTCGGGCTACGCTACCAGTATCACGGTAACGAGCGATGGTACGAGACGCAAAAGATTTATTCACCTTTAAATTTAAAGAAATCATACTATCAAGCTTGAATTCCATCACGAATAACATTTTTTCCGGAAAATTCTGCAAACAATATAATGAGCTGTCATTGGAATAATTTTAACAGCTTTCGGAGGAGTCGCTTAGAAATGACAGCAGTCTGAAGTTGGTTGCAGTTTTTTCATCTCACCCTGTATTTGCTTCTAGACTGAATTCGGTTGGATGTGCCAAAATTCGGGTCATTGGAACTGATATTGGCCATTTGGTGCACAAATAACACGAAATCGGTTGACGATATATGGGAGCTATATCTAAATCTGATTCGATTATCACCAATTTTAATTAGGTTCGTCCTTGGGCCAAACAAATATTATTTGAAAAATTTCATCTCAATCGGATAATAAGTGCGACCTGCACTGTGTTCATAAAAATACATAGACAGACGGACTCAGAAAGTGATTCTATGAAGATCTTCAAAAGTAACTATGGGTCTATCTTGTTTCCTTTCTTTGAGCGTTTTGTTTTTCAAAACTTTGACCCTTTGTGGTGGAGGTACCAGTAGGAATGGTCCGATCCCTACTATCTTCATATCAGATTTTGTGTTGATGGAAATATTGACATGTGCCAAGTTTGAAAGGAATCGGATGGTAATATCGTGTTTTATGAGATTCACGAATATTCAAAATGTTGATTCTTTGTGGGGGAGGTGCCAGAAGGAGTGAACTGATATATTCCATCTTCACACCAGACCTTAGGTTAATAAAAATATTATGATGTGTGTAATGTGAAAACAATCGGACACTTACACCACCTTTTACAAGAGTTATAATAATTCATAATGTTGACCCTTTGTGGGGGAGATACTGGATGGACCTAGCGCTGATGGAAATATTAGGATTTGCAAAGTTGGAGAAAAATGAAATTATCGCTTTTCTATCTGTGCCGTAGATTGTTTTCTTGAAAATGTTGAGATTTTGTGGGGGAGGTTAGAGGAGGAGTGGACCCATCTTGAGCATTTCCGAACGCGATCTAAGTTTGACAACAATATCACGATGTACCAAGTTTCGATCAAATCGGCTACTTCCTTTGATAGTTATAGTGGGCAACAGCCATACAGACAAACTGACGGACGGACGCTAGATCGACTCCAAATGTCTTGAAACAGATTTTGGTCCAAAGAGACCTAGTGTCTAAAACTGTTGTTTCGATGAGGCACGTTTTGGCCGTATCAAATGATAAAAAAAGAAAATAAAATTAAAAAATGAATTGTCAAATAAAGTAAGTTGTTGTATTTACCCGCAAAGCATAAAATGCATTGTTTTAAAATAAAAGTGAACACTCCGTGATATTGTCAAAGGTATAATTTTGAAATGAAAATCTCTACCAAGTTTAAGGCTGATAATTTACGTATCACAGTAAATTTAATGTATATTTTCTTTTGCCGAATTTAAACCTCGTGGACATTTTGTATGTTAACGTACTATAAGTCTATTTTCACAGAATCTGATTGATGAGTATGTAGTGGTATCCCATTGGCGACCACTACCGACTGTAGCCCTTCTTACTTGTTTAATCATAATTTTTTTTGTAATGAGCTGAGAATAACAACTAAGCGTTTTCTAACGTAAAACATGTGGATCTATTAGAAACAGACAACACACAACGTCAATAACCAAGGGTCACTATAAATACATCTTTACGAAGTGAAATTAAAATTGCAAACTTTAAAAATTATGTAAACCATATTTTAATTAAAGCAACTCGAATAAAATTACGCTTCTAAGGGTGAAAGGGCACAACGTGCTGTTTCTGTTTTTAGCCCCATAAAAGTTATACCAATTGAGACAGATCATTATCGGACAAAGCATTGGGAACCAATTTTGAGCTATTAAAATGTTCGTGCAGACAAGTTGACCAATCTAAAAATAATCAAGAAAAAATAAAACGTCAGTGAAATAAAATAAACAAGAAACCAGTAAAGAAAGTCTTAAAGTCGGGCGGGGCTGACTTTATGATACCCTACACCACTTTGCTAATTTAGTAGAGCTGCGCATAACAATGAAAAGTTTTTATGGGAGAATTCAACCATACACGCTATGATTATAATTATTGTTTAAAGTTCAAAGGACTAAATATGCCTAAGCATTTGTATCTTTTAAATTCGGACTTGCATTGCCCATTTGGTGCACAATTAATTTGAAATCGTATAAATCTATATATATATATATATATATATATATTATATATATATATATATATATATATATATATATATATATATATATATATATATATATATATATATATATATATATATATATATATATATATATATATATATATATATATATATATATATATATATATATATATGGGAGCTATATCCAAATCGGAACCGATCTTGATAAAATTTGGCAAAGATATTTCCGAGATGTATTTGATATATTGTTACGGAGTGCATATTACGGCTGTGGGTAACAAATATGACAAGTCGGATGAACAGTATATGTGGGAGCTATAGCTATATCTGAACCGATCTTCACCAAGTTTGACATACTAGCTTCTAGACTCAATTCGGTCGTAAGTGCCAAATTTCATCCAATTTGGGAAAATATTAGACGTTTGGTGCTTTGCTTTGCTTTGGTGACGTTTGGTAATCGGACGAAGTTATATATGGGAGCTATATCCAAATCTGAACCGATCTCGATGAAATTCAGCAAATGTATTTCTGAGCTGTATTTGATATATTTCCCCAAATTTGTTGTTACAGAGTGCATATTGCGGCTGCGGAGGACAAAAATAACAAATCGGATGAACAATATATATGGGAGCTATAGCTGTGTCTGAACTGATTTCGATCAAATTTGGCATACTTATTTTCAGGTCCAATCTGATCGTACGTTTATTCCATAATATTCCATACTATTCGGACTGATATTACACGTTTGATGCACAATAAAAGGCAAATCGGACGAAGATATATATGGGAGCTATATCTAAATTTTTACCGATTATCTACAATTTTAATAGGGTTCGTCCTTGGGCCAAACAAATGATTTGTGCAAAATTTAATTTGGATAGAGCAATAAATGCGAACTGTACTTTGTTTTCAAATATACATGGACAGACGGACGGACATGCATGAATCGACTCAGAATGCATAAATCGACTCAGAATCAAAAGGAACTATGGGTCTATCTCGTTTCCTTTTGCCTGTTACAAACAAATGCACAAAGACATAATATCCTGACCACATTGTGGTGTAGGGTATAATAAAAACAAGTAAGCAAAGGCTACAGTCGAGCGGGGCCGACCGTTGAATACCCAACAACACTATAATAAACGATACCGTTTATATAGGCGAGATACTCGAAAGAATTCCACAAGATATTGTTACAAATAATAAAAGAAAACCATCAGGTTTCGTTCCCTAATTTTCGAATAATAACAACTTAAACTAATTTGCTCATTTCCAATTTATTGGTAGATGTTGCACGTGAATGGTCTTCCTAGATCTGGAACCAATATTTCCCAAAGACCTATAATCTCTCAGAAGTGGCAAAAGATTAACATTTATTATTGGTTTTTGACTAAAACGCATCGATATGAGATACAGACATTTGACTATATTCTTTAACGAAATCAGCGTTAAAAAAATAGTCAGAAGTGCGTCTTTCCTGTATTTGTGAATTCTCCAAAAAGTCACCGGAATGGACATTTTCGTATTTTGTCTACAAAAGTTGGCAAACTATTTCACACATTGAATATTTTTGGATGGCCATGCAAAACTGCTTGGCTTTTGCAATGTCCGGTAACCTCCAATCAAATGCGCGTGAGGATCGGGCGATAA